CCGAAGACGTTATAAAAAGATTTACAAACATTTTTAGACATTACTGATCAGAAATTCAACCATTTCGAAATTTTTGACACACTTGCCGTTTAAAAAAGGGGTAAAACGCTGCTAAAAGAGAACATGTAGTTCTCACCGTGAATGGATCAGCACCAATAACATAAACTTTATATTCTAAACTCTCCGTTTAGCCGAAAAGGACACGACGAGGACGACACTGTCCTCGCGACAACTTCCCACATCGGCCACCTCGTCGCGAGGACACTCCAACCACAGCAGCGCAAACTCCAAGGGGGTACGTTTTGACGGGGCTACGGTTTACTTTACACCCCCAGCCGGAAGTTTTTGGCTATAACTTTTTTATTTTACATTATTGTAGGCTCAAATTAAAACTCTTAGTATATTTTTCGACGCTCTATCGAATGGCGTTGCAAAAATCCCGACAAAATAAGCGAAAATACCGACAACTTTGAGACCCTTCCGGTGTAGGGGGGGGGGGGTAAAGTAAACTCTTACCACGGGGCGCTCTCAGCAGCGCCCCTTTTGCTAAGACAGGAATATGCGGGCTCACGATTAAGTTAGCACGATTCGTGAAACACGCTGCTTACAGAGCCCTTCTAAATGAAATAAGCGGGACGAATTAGCGCAACTTTACCCATTTCATTTCAGAAAGGCGTACAGGCGGCCAAAAACACGCCAAAGCGTCCCCCCGCGACTTCCCAGTGTGAGCTGGCAAAACCCAAGCAAAGCTCGTTTAATGAGGCCACCACCAAGGTATGGATGATGTAAAACTGCTCTAAAGAGTGCTATATTGCAGGACGTCAAGAGGAACGCATCAACGGTGGAGCGAGGCCATAAAGTGATCCGGCCCGGCGTCCAGGATCCCGTCACCACTGCCCTACCAATGCGTGTCCCTATCCGCAAACGGGCCGCCAACGCTTCTGACGTATCCTATTTAATCTACCTACCAAAACTGTTGATTCAGCTGGAAAAGATGGGAATGGTGGCCCCGCATGCGAAGGAATGGCGTGAAATGGGCACCCACGATCGGCTCGAGCCAGAATACGTACTTCCGCATGCGCAAATGTACCGAGCAACTGTAAGCTACCGAAAGAATCATCAAAATACACCCCTCCAAATACAGACCGAAACGACGACCCAAACTGGTGAGGGGACACGGGAGAGTCCGAAACAGGAGAAGCGCCAGCTAAAGACGGCCAACACCATGGATAGCCATCGATCCAGAAGGGACGAGGAGGGCGGAGAGAATTTGGTAGACTGAAGGTTTTAATTTTTACAATGAGCCAATCCTCAGAAAGGGGCAAAGAATTACGAGAAAGCGTCGGAAGTGATGCCGAAGGAGCTGCCGCAAATGGTTCGGCCCCTATTAGATCCATGCTCCTTTGATCGTTTTAACAGATCCACACGGCGGAAGATTAACATGGCACAGAACGACGTAGAAGAAGCCAAGCTACTCACCCCATCTCACAATTATTATAACAAATAAATGGTTTTGCAGCCTACACAGAGACATGGATGCCGGCATCCTGCCGGGTGGCAGCCGGGAAATCGCCGCGTTCTTGCCGGGTGGCAGCCGCCGGCTGCCATCCGGCTGCCGCCGGCTGCCATCCGGCGAAAACCCGGCAGCCGGGTTTCTGCCGGCACATGCCGGCTCTTCACGAATCGCTTTTGCCAGGTTCTTGCCTGGATCCTGCCGGTTATTCGCCGGGCATTTGCCGTGCTTCTGCCAATATAATGCTTCCGCTTCCGCTTCGCGATTGCAACGTAGGCGACGCCTGTAATCTTGTGCCAATATACTAGTGCTTTATCTTGTCTTTAATTTCGTTTATCACTTACTTTTCGAAGCACGAGACTTGGCAGTAGACGTTCGCAGCAACAATCGAACTGTAAACTTGCATTAGTTTAACCTTTTTCAGCGTTAATGAGTTTTTAAACCCATTAAACCTAACTTAATAGTAAACATACTTTTAAAACCACGGTGCTTGGATACGAGAAGCAGGCGCAGTTTTCTCACTACAGGGTTTATCTAGAAACAAACGGTTAGATTTTACTAAACTTTTCTTGTTTCCTGAAGCTACTTCGTCACATTGGCGAAGCATATCGTAAACGTGTAGGCTGGTTCATTATAGCCCAAAACTTCCTAAAAGGCTAATGAAACTGAAATACCTGGCTCGTCTGCAGTTCCTTTTAACTTGACATACAGGCACATTGAACCCAGAAAGACGGCGGCAGATATTGAATCGAAATAAACTTTATCTGAAAACTTCCGTTAATTTGGCGAGAAATCAAAGGTTTTGCCATATATCAAATCTAAAAAACTCTAGTACCCATTCACAGACTGCGTTCTAAAAACATCAAACGTTTTTATAAGCTGGATACTTACCTCTTGTTGAAGAACTGTAAAAATCTAAATTTATGAAAGAAGAAACTGAACGCGCAAAGAAAACCGGGAAAAGCCGAGAAATTCGAAAGTTGGGGTAGGGCTACGAATAAATACATGTTTACACCGGCAAGAATCCGGCAGTATCCCGGCAGCCGGCAGAAAGCCGACAGGATTGCGGCAGACCCGGCAGCGAGCCGGCAAGAACCCGGCCGCCGGCTTTTTGCCAGGTCGAGCAGCCGGCAGCCGGGATTCTGCCAGAGGTCCCGGCAAAAATCCGGCAGAAAACCGGCAAGATCCCGGCTGCCAGCCGGCAGAGCCATTTTTCCCGGCTGCCATCCGGCAGAAACCCGGCAGCCATTTCACTGTGTAAAAGCTTTTGATGTCGATGAATTCGGACAGATTACATTACAATACACACCACGGTATCAGCATCAGCTACGATACTTACAGTCAGGAATTTGTCGAGTGCGTAGCACTACGTACATTCCACTCTACGCATGGAACGGAATTACGGAGCATCCGTTCATTCTCCACTATCGGTTTCCCGATTTTTTCCTGGTATTCCTTGTATTTTTTGTAAGCAAACTATTAATTTTGATAATTAAAAACTATCTTACTTACTCTATAGCTAATTGATAGTAGTCCGGAAATCCAAAGGCTGCTAAATCGCGCCTGTGAAAGGAGCCCGCGATCACGACGCTTTTTACCGTTCGTCAACTTTTTAGAATACTTTTTCCATCTTTCGGTTTCTATGCTTCTCTTCACGTCTTCTTCTCTCGTCTCGTTCGCTTCACCAGAATGCCATTCCATTTTATCCTATTTTTCAGATGGCCCCCACTATCTACCAAATGGAAACGGCCCAGAAGCTCTACAAAAAAGTTGACGGCCAGCCACCAGTTCAGCCACCAATCGACGAAAACTTCCGCTTGGCCACGCTGGACCCAGAGACGGACTGCTTTGCCGGATACGGATGCGACAATCACTACAAGATACTGGGCGTCGTCGTTATTGCCCTGCTGGTGTGCCTCGTCTACACCGTGCTCTACGCACTCAGGCGCCGATGCTGCTCTCCTTCCGGGATATTCCTTGTCCAGCCGGCTGATGGTGACCAGCAAAAACTTCTCGACAATGAGAGACTCCCCGTATCTGTCGAAGAAGATGAGGATGGCGCCAAAAATGTTGTTCGCGTCATCGAGACGACCGAGATTGATGAGATCGGGCTCTGCAACCCTTCACATACCGATGAAGCCGATGCGGGCAACAAGCTATTCATCTCCCATGGCGTCGAGGTTTGAGCTTTTCAAGCACTGGCACTTTTCCTCCAAATTTCATATTGTGATGTAGACTTCTAGCTCGAATTGACTCGCTTCTTATTTTTGTTGTGCGCCCCACTGCCACGACGCAATTGTGAAACAGTTATTTACACTTATTGAACCACCTTATTGTTCATTTTCCCATCTTGTACTTTTTCCCTGTCATGTTAGGTTTCAATAAAGAATTATGTTCCGCATACATTTGCATCTTTCGGCGACCTAGACTGAAACATTAGTTAACGCGCAGACATTTTATCAACTTGTCTACTGGCCGGTCGTACAGAAGCGGATGGGCGACGTCGAATGCAGCAGTTGGCGTTTTGGGTTGCCTTTGCATGTTTTCAGCGTCCGGGAACGTCAGATTGCGCAAGGGTTACATCTTCGGAAAGCGATGGATTGTTGGAGTGGTCGGCGCTAGGGTTTTTCATGAGAAAATCTTTTTTAGAAGCTCGGTGAAGGCGGCTGCGGTACCGTTTACAAAGTCAGCGATAAGAAGACTGGTGACAAGGTATTTCAACCGTCTGCTTTTCCGCTACTCCTTTTGCAGTTTGCTTTGAAGACCGAGTCAAACAATATCGAAGGAGGAAGTGTTCTGAAGCTAGAGGCGCAGGTGCTACGCAAGCTGGAGGGCAAGCTGCAATTTCCGCAAATCCGTTGGGCGGGCAAGCGCACCAAGTTTTCGTACGTCGTCATGACGCTGCTCGGTGACAGCCTCCATTACCTGCTCAGGTAGAAAGTTGTAACTACATAATAGAACATTTTGTAGGCTGCATGGCTCCCGGGTCAACACGGTCTCCACCCAGATTCGCGTGGGCATCCAGCTGCTTCATGCCTTGAAGATGATGCATGATGTTAGTGGGCTTCATTCGTTTTTAGATTGAAAGTTTTCTTTTTTCCGTTTTGCAGTGGCTCTGCTTTGGTATATTGTTCATTCTAGGCCGGTATCGTTCACCGTGATGTCAAGCCCGCCAACCTCGCGATGGGGCATCAAGACGGACCCCAGGCCCACATTCTGCACATCCTCGATTTTGGCCTTGCTCGAGAGTCGGCTCGTTTTCACGTTTCGAATGCCGTTTAGGTTCTTGTGGAAGTCCGACGGTGTCTGGATGTATCGGCGAAAGCGTGACGACTGTCTCTTCCGGTTTTACCCCCATTCAATGAATATCCATTTTTAGCGGCACCTCCCGCTACTGCTCCATTAATACCCACAAGAAAGGCGAGCAGGTAACTCAGTTACTTCCACAATATAGCAGTTTTTTAGGGCCGCGCTGATGATTTGTGGTCGATGATCTACTTGATGGCCGAAATGCGATGCTCGCTTCCATGGGCTCGGATGCAGTACGGAATTTTCATACAGTGAAGATGTTTCTTTTATCCCAGGGAAAAGAAAGATGTGGAAATCTGCAAGGAGAATACCAGCGACGACGATCTTTTTCCAAGGCTCCTCTCCAAAGGTTTTTGAAGCCATCCGACTAATACTCATTTTTTAGCTGAAAAAAGTCACGGCCCATCTGCGAACCCTCGGCTATTACGACCGCCCGGACTACCTTTACATTTATCGCATTTTCAACCAGATTCGAATTGATGAGAAAATCAAGTAATGATCGAGGTTATATTGCCTCTCATTCCCGTTTTTCCAGTTACGATGATCTATACGACTGGGAAGAGGCGGTCAAAGGCGAACCGGCGCAGCACAAGGACTCTGAAAAGGTGGAGCGCGAGATGCATGCCGCCACAAAAGACCAACCGCCATCCAGACAGGTTGGGGAGGTCAGCCATGAGACAATTTTGCTTTAGATCCTGCGAAGCATTTTAGACTCGAGTTTCATGGAAAGCGCAGGATATATATATGTTTCTGTCCATATCAGTTTTCCTCGTTTGCACACCGTACCCCCGGAAAATGGATAAAATAGGGTTATATGAATGTTGTCAGACGCGCAATTCGCAAACCTTTTAGGCATCTTCGACCAGTGTCTCGGAAAACTCGACCGAGGCTTCGAAGACGGCGAGCAATGAGAAGCTGACAAAAGAGTATGAGTAGATATATCTGACCTCTTTCGTCCTCTTTTTAGGGATGAGTTGAACCTCTCGGACACGCAGGACGACCCGGAGATGTGGGGCGAATTCCCGGTCGAGGACTATGCCCGCGATCCACTGGCTCGCTAGACGTCGACCCCCGCAGATTACTCGCACCATTCACCAATTAATTTTTATCTCGAAGATGTTTTTGGTTAATTTCATCCCTGGCCCTGCACGATTGTGTTTGAATCTCGCTCTGTAGCAATCCGCCGTGTTCAGGAACTTGCCTCTCTTTTTACTCGGCTTTTTTCGATAATAAATGTTGGTGCAGCATATTTCGTCGGTTATACAGATTTTTGGGCTCTATCCTAATAGCGGGGACCATAGAAATTATCGGGGACCTTACGAAATATCGTGGACCGATCGCGAATATCGGGTACTTTAAAATCGGCCATATAGGTCAAAATTTCGGCTGATCAATAGCGTGGACTTTAGAATTTGGACTCCAGCCGGGCTATGGTCCATGATATTGACCAATACAAAAAATATCCGAAATTGCCGGAAAACGCCTGCTAATCTAGCAAAGGGCAATTCACTGGCTTCCCAAGCGCCAGGGGCTGCAAAGAAGCTTACCTTGCCATCTTCCTTGGTACTTTACTGTCTTGGACGACTTGACGCTTCTGGCGAGGTGATCGTTCTTCGAGCTACACCACTCCACATAAATTTGTAGGCGCCCCCAATTTTTTGCCTAGGGAAATTGCCAGTCATTATAGCGCTTTGACCCAAATTACTAAATACTAATTCGGGTTTGGGAAGCTGAAAAAACTTGTTAGTACCACAGGCAGGACCAATTTTTTCGCGATTTCCGGTTTCTGCATATTTTTCACCTCGAAAAGCATCGGGGATGGCTGCTGGTGATGCTCTTGCTTTAGACATCATTTTTCGCAAGGCAAACACAGTGAGCTCGTGCTCCAAGACCGAAAAAATCGTGGCATCAAAAATGGTCTGTGGACGGGTTCGTTTTAGCGAAGGGAACGATAATTTCGCCGTGTTACCGAGCGGATGTGGTCCACAGAGGTCTTCCGACCGGTAGCAGATGCATCTCACGACAGCGCATTTAAAACGCAAAACCCCCTGAATTTGTTCGTGATCGCATCATACCCCCGGCGTAACTTAGGGCTAAATTCTCCATCTAAGGTCATGTTAGGCGATTTCAAACTCGGTTTGTGCTGTAACATCGTCACATGACCTGTACGGATCCGTACGTAACGCATCGAGCTCGAACCCCAAGTTAAGGCGGCTTTCCCACTGGCAATTTCCCTAGGCAAAAAATTGGGGGCGCCTACAAATTTATGTGGAGTGGTGTAGCTCGAAGAACGATCACCTCGCCAGAAGCGTCAAGTCGTCCAAGACAGTAAAGTACCAAGGAAGATGGCAAGGTAAGCTTCTTTGCAGCCCCTGGCGCTTGGGAAGCCAGTGAATTGCCCTTTGCTAGATTAGCAGGCGTTTTCCGGCAATTTCGGATATTTTTTGTATTGGTCAATATCATGGACCATAGCCCGGCTGGAGTCCAAATTCTAAAGTCCACGCTATTGATCAGCCGAAATTTTGACCTATATGGCCGATTTTAAAGTACCCGATATTCGCGATCGGTCCACGATATTTCGTAAGGTCCCCGATAATTTCTATGGTACCCGATATTTTTTATGGTACCCGATATTTTCTATGGTCCCCGATATTTTTTATGGTACCCGATATTTTCTATGGTACCCGATAATTTCTATGGTACCCGATAATTTCTATGGTCCCCGCTATTAGGATAGAGCCGATTTTTGAAGTCATAAAGCGTTACCCGAAATGGTATCAGCTTTCTGATAACTGTTCAAACACTATTTTAGGTTCAAAAACGTTTAAAAATGACTTTCACGCATAAAATCGGTGCCCGGGCGCAGAAGTAGGACCATCACTCAACAACTAATCCCTCGTAGTAGCGCCTCCCCTCGCCTCCTATGCCCTCTGAGAAGGTGGAGCATATTTGGGCAATGAACAGCCGGGTACCGGCTAGCACGGTTCGTTTGGGATTTCAAAGCAGCGGTTGCGAGTAGTTTTCAGACTGAAATCAACGTCATCATCTTTTGAACTTTTGCTTTCTCGCAAAAAAAAGTTATTTTTTCAACGATCTTTAAACTACCCTTTTGTATCAGGGATTTTGATATTTTCTGATTAAACCCCCACCTTTGGCCCAAAACCCAATCCTAAAATAAGGCTTCTGACCCGGCGCGGGCTGTGCTTTTTGAGGTCACCGGCACCCACCTCCGGCGAGAACCCCCAGCAGCGCTTATTACAATATTTACGACCCGGCTGTATTTCGAGGGGCCAAACTTGCAAAGCGGCCGACAAGGATTTGTCATCTACTTGTCAGCCGGGGTTTCCTAGCTTCTAGGCGATCTTTAATAATATAAAAATAAACTGGACCTGAGGACATTTTTAGGTTTTTGAAGATCGTTGAAATCGGAGCAGTGCGCCAAAAAATAGAATCTGCGACAGGATGGAATTGGAAAGTTAGATTAGTAAGCTCAAAAGTATATCGAGGTATTGAAACCGTTCTATGTGGGTTTTTTGACGATTCATGCACCAAATCGGGTCAAAATAGATAGATTCAAGTCGTAAATTGAAGATTATAGATATAGAAAACGGTAGAAATACGTTTAAGGGTTATTTAACCACGCCAACGTTATACTTTAATTTCTCGTAACCCCTCGGTTTATATTTCCTTATGTCCCGGGATGTGGTTGTGGCCATCTTTTGCTAACAGCACCCTCGTTGGGCGAGCGCGCGGCCGCTTTACGACGTCCCATCAACACCGATAAATAATTAAAGGAGACGACAGGAAACGGCCGTCCCGGGGGCCCCCCTTCGCCAATATCGTGGGCCCCGCATCAAGATTATGGGCGGCGAATGTGTAGCAATCTGGACGACGAGGAGGGGGCGCTTCTCTCGAATACTGAAGCAGCAGACGGCAACGCCCGCGGTGAAGAAGGCAAATTAGTTTTGGCTATAACGGGAATGGCTTCTGAAACTGAAGAGTGGGGGGAAGATATAGCTTTTCGTGGCGTCATGATTGATAGGAAATTTAGGATTTTAAAGATTTCGGATACTGGTTGAAGCGAAATTCAATAGCCTGTCGGTATTTCGGGGAACTTTGGTGCGGGTTTGGTAGCGGGGGATCTAGCTTTACCTCGATCGTCCTGTAGGGCATCGGAAAATGATATACGCTGCCGTTTAGAATAAGTAGAAAGTTCAGAAGAACCATAGAAGATTTTTCGAAAATTTCAAATTTTGATCAACAATGGGTACAAGTAGGATAAGCGGGGGGAAAATTTTAGGCGGGGGGGGAAAACCAACTTTTTCCTGGTCGGCCCTGGTGGGGATAGTAATCAAATATAAAGTGTTTTCACATTGTTTTTAGCAAAATTTAAGCCTATTTGAATCCGAAATTTTTTTAAAAAAGTTAGAAAAACGCTTGAAAAAGTCGAAAATTTGGTCATTTTTGGGCCGAAAAAAGTGATTTTTAGACCTAAAATTAAATTTTTTAATTAATTTTTGTAAAGTTTTTATGTTTAGGAATAGCTATAAACAATTTAGAAACACTTCCATTATTTATATAAAAAAATAGGCTTGAGCGGAAAAAAGTTGGTTTCCCCCGCCTAAAATCCCCCCGCTTATCCTACTTGTACCCAACAATGTGTGAAAATGCCATTTGAAAATGGTCAAGAATTGAATTTATACAATTTTCTAAAAATACTTTTAGGACTTTTTAATATTAGAAAAGGATTTAAGCATTTTCAAAGACTCCATAAAACGATAAATTTTTTGTAAGGTAGTTTTAGGCTAGATATAACTTCCCGCACCAAATCCCTCTCCACCCCACCCCCACATAACAATCCAGTTTCACATTTTTTTTGCATATCCCTAGGTCCCTTCTCGCGCTGACACCTCCCTTTGCAGTTCCTAATATTGTGACAATGCATATGGGTCAGCTGTCACGGGTTGTGGGGGGACAATAAGCCGTTTCAGTGGCCGGTGTAAGGGCATCGCTCATCCCATTTGGGCCCGCGCATCTCGGTGGGCCCTTTGAGGATCTGATGATTGAAAGGGTGAAGGTGGCAGGAGGAGAGGGACTGTTCTTTCACTTACACTGACCAGCCGTCGTTCGCAAGTAGAAAGAATTAATAACTCGGTTATTCAAGAAATACATATTTTCGAAAAGCCGGCAAGCTTTGTTTGGATGTTTGATAACCTTGGTTTGCGCATAGCGTGATTTTTAAGGGTTTTGGGGCGTTTTTGACCATTCATAATTCTCAAAAAGGACAAAACATAGCATTTTCGGTAGCCGTTTTTCCCGAAGATCAGAATCGACGTTTTTAGAAATTTTGTATTACATTTTCGGTAGCTTTTCCAGGAGAAATATCGCTAAATTCCGCTTTTGGTTTATGGTTTTTGGATTTGTCCTAACTTGAAGTCTCAGGAAATTTTCAATACAAAAACATAGAAAAAGTAGTTTCGTTGGCCTACGATGACCTTCAGATCTAGCGTTTGTTGAGCTTTTATAGTTTTCAGCAGTTTTTTCACGTCAAAAGTTAAGTGAAAATATATAGCGTTGTAGCTCATTAAGACGTTTCTTCCTTTTCCATAGGCTTTTAGTCATTCGGGTTGTACAGGGTGTCCCAAAAAAAATCGACCCCCCTCTAGCGGACCGCAGAAAGCTCGGATCGGAATGATTTTCACACCATTCGAAAGCCCTTCAAACGGTGAGAAAACAAGCGCCTTTGGTTTTCCAAAAAATTTTAGCCTTCGCTCGATATTCAATGATTTCGGTAAAAAGCGTAAAACCAGCATCATCCTATTTGTTTTAGCAAGCAATTAACATGCCGATTTTGCATAAAATCTGCAGTTTTCATCGATTTTGGCCCTAAATTTAATGAATTAAAATTCCCATATTGAAAAACGAAAAGTGCTTGTTTTCTCACCTTTTCGAGTGCTTTCGATAGATATCTAAATCGTCAAAATCGGACATGACTGCGGCCCGCTAGAGGGGGGTCGATTTTTTTTGGGACACCCTGTATTTTTAACAGTGCTGCCAATAAGCCGCCGTCAGATATAAAAGCCGATCCCGCGTTGTCAGCCGCCCTGCTCGCTACTTCTCCTCCTCCTCGTGGTCGGGCGATATGGAAGAGTTATGAGGGTAGAGAGATCGGTTTGGAGGGACCCCCTCTGCTGATACGACAGTTGCTTTCTCAATAGATATTTGGACACAGTCAGGGCAGAGGAGGACACTTCGCATTGAGAGGAGGATGATGCCCATCGCGCCCCGATGAAAAATGACTTTGATAGGCGAGGGGGCCAATAGCGGGGGGCCTTACACAAAACACACGCACACTTTTGGCGCATCATCGATGGTCATTTATTAGGGTGTTGAGATTTGGAGATTAGGAGAAGCAGAAGCCGTCAAGGAAGTGGACGCTCGAAAAAAAAGTTATTAAAAACCAGGGTTGAAAAACCGCTTCGCGGCTTTTCAACCCTGGCCCCGTCTACGACCGATGAAAGTCTTCAATTTGCATGCTTCTGCCCCAAAATCTATCAGGGAAAAAGTGAAAAACGGCTCCTCTGTCGCTTTATATAGGCTATCCGACTTCCGGCTTATGCTAATTGATCCCTAACAAAGGGCGTGGGCGAGAATTTTACAAAAATTTGTTTTTAATAGCGAAAATAGCAATTTTTCAAAGATTCTATGTGCGTGCAGTCGATTCCGGACCTTTCTTTACCTAATGACGTTTCTTCGCTACCGAAAAAATGCTTCCCTGAGGCTGTAGGTGCGGAACATCCTCACGGAAGTTGCATGCAAATGCACACACAGACACACAGACACTATTTTTTTATATATAGTAGGATGTTTTTCGTAGGATCTTAGGGGTTTGGCTTTTAGAGCTTGTAGTTTTTGTTGTGTTATTAAGTTTCTCACGGGGAATTAGGTGTCTTTCGTTGCTCGTAAAGTAGATAAATAAGGTAGCTAGAAAGTAGGATAAGGAAAGATTCAAAGGATTTGTTTTTAGAGCTTTGTGTGTTTTTGTTTTTATGCAGCTTCTGGGGTAGACTTAAGTATTTTAGCTTTATTTCCAGTACAGTTTAAATATTTTAGAGCGCGATATATAATTGCAAGTGCTATGAAAACCTCAAGAAATGTTTGTGTCAGTTTTCTAAAGGCTTATAAAGTCTTTATAGCATGTTTTAGTAAAATTTTTAGGTATTGGAAAGTATAGAACAAGTTAAGTACACAAAAAAAAAATCGTAAAAGCTTGAATTTTCAGTTTTTTAAGGTGTCTAAAGTGTTTTTATGTATTTTGGCATGTAAAGACTAGAAAAAGCGTCATAAAACTATTAAAATGTAAAACTTTAAAGTAACTGTTTTCGCTATGGTCCCCCCTATCCAACTGAACCCATATTGTTCCACCCGCGGCCATTTAGCGGACATGATCGTGTCGTGGGCCCCCATAGAAAGTAATTGATGAGGAATGGCGACGGGCGGAGTGCGCGATTTGCATATTATTTCCCGGTCTCGTCGATCCATCGCCCCCACCAAGGACGGCTAATTGGAAAACAAAAGGGAGGTCCAAATGGGACATGGCGTAGCATGGGCGTTTGCATTAATTTTTAGGAGTTCTTAAATGTTTAAAAAGTTTTTAGGTTTTAAAACAGTTTTCCACATTTTCTTGGTGGTTACTAAAAATCTAAATTATTACTTTTGGGGTATTGAAAGCTTCTTACGTGTTTTTAAGGCTCTTTCTGATGCTTTAGGTGTACGCGTAGATATAGCTGAAGCTTCAGCTTAGCTTTGCTTGGCTTGGGCGAGCTTATTAGGCTTATGTGTAGGTATACGCGTAGTCTTACAATTGGCTTATGGTAGGCGTAGGGGTTTGGATTAGATTTTTAAAGTTTTTCAGACCGATTCAAGAAGCGGTCAACTTAAGCACGAGCTCAAGCACAACCTGAAGCCTAAGCTTATAAGCTCGAGTCTAAGCCTGAGCCTATACCTATGCCTAGTCTTTCGATCAAGCTATTTTTGCCGCGCCCTTGCCTCCTTTTCCAGCGGCTTTATAACATCCCCCCTAGACCGGGGGGTCGAGATGAGAAGCCGTGCTTGGTGGTTGAATGGTGTAATTTGTATGAAGTGTAGAGTGACTGGGCCCCCTCTTGGGTGGGCCATAGATAGACAGGAAGGGCCCCAAGAAGGAGAGAGATGGCATGCAAACGGCCGATAAGACTTCTCATTACCCTATACCCCCACCAACCCCGCCCTCATTTCTATACCCATTTACGAGGAGGAGGAGGAGGAGGAGCAGGAGCAGGAGGGTCGATGAGCATTGTCGGCATCGAGAAGAGCACCAGTTTTTACGTGATTTTGTTAGTATGATTTTGGATTTAGATTTGGAGCAAGCTTTTGAAGAATTTTAAGCTTTATATTAGCCTGCGCTTCAAGCTCAAGCTCAAGCCTAAATCGAAAGCTGAGCATGAGCTTCAAGATAAGCTGAGACGCAGATATATTTTTATACTTAGCTTTTTATAATTTTTCGACTTCTGGACGGCCGTAAACGGAATTTTTAAATTATTCGAACTACAAAATTTAACGTAACATCTCGCAAAATCCTTTTTATAAAGTATTTGAAATCTCGTTGTTTTTCGGGAAATTTTGAGGCGATTTAAAGCAACGATTTTGACAAATACGTAACTGAACGAAGTATTCGATTTATTACGTATTGCTGCCTGCCACCCGCCTCTGATCCGCCAACTCAAAGCTGTCAAACCGAAAGACAAGGACTACGTCTTGAGTGATGGGGACGGCCTTCAGCTTCGAGTGAGAGTCAACGGCTCGACGCTTTGGAACTTCAACTATCGGCAGCCGATTACCAAGAATCGTATCAATATGGGGTTAAGCACCTACCCAGGCTCTCGCTCGCGCAAGCCAGGAAGAAGACCGTCTAGCTAGAGAACTGCTCGCTCAGGCGTCGACCCGAAAGAGCATCGGAGCGCGTTGGACCTAACAAAAGTGCAGGCAACCGAGCACACATTCGAAAACGTAGGCGTCTGCCTGGTTTGAACTCAAGAAGGATTCGGTCACTCAAGCTTATGCCGAGGGACATCTGGCGCTCGCTCACATTGCATGTCTTCCAGCACTGGGAACAACACCTATCTCCGCAGTGCAACGCCCCGATGGTCATCCGGTTGCTGCGCCCTTTGGAAACCAAAGGCAGTTTGGAGACAGTGAAGCGGCTGACCCAACGACTCAATGAGATCGCTGACCTACGGTGTGAACTCGGGAATGATCTTGCCAATCCACTCAGTGGAATTCCGGGCTGTTTTCAAAAGCCGAAAAAGCAAAATATGGCTGCCCTCCGCCCAGAGGGAGCTGCCAGAGCTAATGATCGCCATCGCCAATGCGAGCATTAAGAGAACAACTCGCTGCCTAATCGAATGGCAACTCCACACTATGACTCGTCCTGCAGAGGCGGCTACGACGTCCTGGGCTGACATCGACCTCGATAAGAAAACTTGGACGATTCCAGCGAGGCGCATGAAGAAGCGACGCGCACATGTCATTCCGTTGACCGAGCACGCGCTTGCCCTGCTAGAGACGATCAAACCCTACAGCGGCCACAGAGAGTACGTGTTCCCTGCTGATAGAGACCCGCGGACCCACTGCAACAGCCAGACGGCAAACATGGCCCTGGAAGCGCATGGGCTTTGAAGGTCGATTGGTGAGCCATGGAATGCGCTCCATGGCCAGCACCATTCTTAACGAACAGGGATGGGATCCAGAACTGATAGAAGTCGCACTTGCGCACGTGGACAAAGACGAAGTGCGTAGTGCATACAATCGCGCCGATTACATAGATAGAAGGCGCCCAATGATGACCTGGTGGAGCGATCACATCCAACAAGCGGCTACCGGAAGCCTGTCCGTTTCCGCTATCCAAAGGGCCACAAGCTTAAAAAGTAGTGTCAGCGCAATAGCTCGCAAGAATCGAATGGCGATTGGATGGTTACCACCCTTCCCTCATACTTCAACACGGCCGCCCACACGTGCGTGGATTTTAGATCTGGTGGCACAATGGACTTTAAACGCATCGTCTTCATTATTGTTACGATGTACTGGAAATCCAACTCGCGCGAAATCTCGGAGCCAAGACGCAGCGCGCTGATGACTTGGCGACCGTCAACACAATCGAACAAATGCGTATCATGGACCAAATATCTTGGTCTTATCTGGCGCTGGGGACACAAGCGCATGAGCATCATATCGAAGCAAAAATCGGCATGTTCTTGATGCCTTTGCTACGCTGTCCCTGCATTGAAACTTGCGCACCGGCTGTTGCAGGTTTCGTCAATTGTCATACTGCCAACCGACTTATATAGGCGTTGCGAGGCCTCCTCGAACGCAACAATGGCTTCCGCCACGCTGTCCTTTGCTCGGCAAAATTACGTCGCAGGCGGATCATAAGGCGACTGCACTCAATCTCCAACTCGTTCTTCGTGCCTTCGAGTGCCTAACATCCTGTTTTCGACCAGAGCCTGAGGTCGCGTTGCTCTGGCAATGTCTTGGTCCTATTAATCAGTCATGTAGCCCAAGGCCAGGATCTTCCATTTTTAAATTCATGCGCCGGTTTTCAGGGCAGTTGGATCAAGGATTTATGAGCCATCAAAAACGGCCTTCTGTTTCAACATGGCCAACAAGCTTTCAGCCGCAACTGACAGTTGCCGCCCCGCTCGGACCATCAGGTGCGCCTCAGCACTTTCGAATACTTCGCTGCGGGTCCTAAGCGCTACAAGCGTACCTTCCGCGATCTCATTGGCCACCGCATGCGAGGACAGAAAGGTCACTCCTAGGTGGGCTTTTACATAGCTCTTGAGGGTGGCGATTGAGTTGGTGACCAGATTGGACTCGAATTGAATGCGATCGTGGTATTGCGCCAGCTTAACCAAGTTGCTTAAGCCAAAGCCGTTGGACATTAAGCCCACCGGGTAGGGGCAAACATCACCCAATGCCAGCGGCTGCTTCTTCTCGGTAAGGGGATGGCCGGGCCAGGTGATGACGCACATTGGCTGTTTGCGCACCATGACCGTACGCACAGCGGGATCAATTGGCGGACGGTATGCCAGACCGATATGAGCCTGGTCACTTGCCAGCATCCGTACTGTGTCGACGGCATTGGCAAACTCCAAAGTAACGACCAGCTTGGGGTGTTGCTGGCAGAAGTCTCGAAGCACCCAGCGGACTAATTCCTCGCGGAAACCTTCACCCGCGACAATGTGAATCTCGCCTCTTTCCAGCCCCTTGAGTTCAGAAATCTGAGTCAGCAGCAATGCTTCGCTTGAACGCCGCTCACGACAGTGGTTGATCACCAGTTTGGCAGCTTCCGTGGGGACGATGCCCCTGCCGTGGCGCTGTAGGAGTTGCACCCCCAACTCGCTCTCTAACTGGTGGATTTGCCGGCTGACCACCGAGGGTTCGATATTCAGGCGATCCGCTGCGCCTCGAATCGAGCCGGTTTCTGCAACCGCTGAAAAATAGTGAAGGCGTCGCTCATTAAGGCCAATTTTCTGCAATTTTGGGAGCTCCTATCTGTTGCCTTTAAGGCAACGCTCATCATCAACTATAGCTATTGTTTGAAGTTTCTCCCCTCTCCATAATTCCTGTCAACCGAGCGATGCCAAGCTCCTTTAATCGACACAATAAAAATAACTACGGAATTTGTGAGGACTTCACCATGGCTCAAGCAGAACTATTGATCACACCAATCCCCCGATGAAGCCCTACGCAAGGCTTATCGCAAAATCAGTTGGCGCCTATTGCCCTTTCTGCTGTTGTGCTATGCCCTCGCCTATTTGGATCGGGTCAATATCAGTTACGCCAAGATTGCAATGCAGCAGGAATTTGGCCTAACCGATGCAGTTTATGGATTGGCGGCAGGGATTTTCTTTATCGGTTATGTAATGTTCGAAGTTCCGAGCAATCTCTGGCTGGCACGTGTAGGAATACGTAAGACGCTCAGTCGCATCATGGTGTTGTGGGGGTGGCTTCAACTTCGATGCTGTTTGTCCATGACAGCACTACATTTTATGTCCTGCGGTTTTTTCTAGGGGTGTTTGAGGCTGGATTTGCTCCAGGCATGATCCTCTATCTGACGTTCTGGTTTTCAGGCAAGCGTCGCGCTCAAGTAATGGCGTGCGTCCTGTTGGCAGGTCCAGTATCGAACGTCATCGGTGGACCATTGTCGACCTGGATCATGGGGGCTTTCGCCGACCTTCATGGTTTGGCGGGATGGCAGTGGATGTTCATTCTTGAAGGGGCGCCTTGCATTCTTTTGGGTATAACGGCGTTTTTCTTTTTGAGTGACTCACCGGACCAGGCCAAATGGCTGAGTGGAGAAGAAAAACGGTTGCTGGCGAATGATCTAGAGCAAGTACAGGCGTCAAAGCAACATACTTTCGCTGCAGCTTTGAAGGATTGGCGAATTTACCTGATGGCCCTCATTTACTTCTGTCTGATCTGCGGTCTGTATACCGTCAGTTTCTGGTTGCCGAGCATACTGCGGGACGCTGGCGTAAAGGATATTTTCGAAATCGGCCTCTATTCAATGATCCCTTACAGCGTCGCCATTCTCGCGATGCTGATCAATGCTCGGAGTTCCGATCGCTTGGGCGAACGCCGTTGGCATGGCGCTGTGCCCGCCTTTCTGGGGCGGTAGGTTTAGTGCTGACCGGTTTCAGTTCCGGCAACCTAACGTTGGCGCTGTGCAGTATTACCCTCGCAACGCTATCCACTTACGCGGCCTATGCCGTGTTCTGGGCTGTGCCCTCTAGTTACCTCAAAGGTACTGCCGCCGCCGGGGGCATAGCCCTGATCAACAGCATCGGTGCCTTTGGTGGTTTTGTTAGTCCATCCATCATCGGAGCCTTGAAGACCTTCACCGGTTCGTTCGCTGCGGGGATGGCCGTAATGGCCGTCCTTTTAGTGATCGGCGGTCTTTGCACGTTGACGTTGCGTTTACCGACCCAGGCTCAGCCGTAAGAGCCGGGGATGCGTCCCAACTGACAGCACTTCTGCACTCCCTTATTCACCGCTAGGAATTCACTGTGATGAAGACTGAACCTCACTACTGCAACGTCGATGATCTACGCCCTCGTGCTGAGGAACTGACACGTATTCGCCGTCATATTCACCAGCATCCAGAAATGGCCTACGAGGAGTTTCAAACCGCCAAACTCGTTGCAGAGAGCTTACGGGCCTGGGGGTTCAGCGTAACCGAAGGCGTTGGGGAGACCGGCGTGGTAGGCAGCCTGACGGTAGGCACCGGCAAGAGCATTGGCATACGAGCGGACATGGATGCTCTGCCATTGACCGAGCAGACCGGCTTGCCTTACGCCAGTGTCTATCAGGGAAAGATGCATGCCTGCGGCCACGACGGCCATACCACCATGCTGCTTGGGGCGGCTGAATATCTGGCGCGCACACGAAACTTCTGCGGAACGGTGCACCTCTATTTTCAACCCGCCGAGGAGAAGGGCTTCGATAGCGGTGCGCAACGCATGGTAAATGATGGCTTGTTCGAACGTTTTCCCTGTGATGCCGTATTCGGAATGCACAACCATCCGGGCGAGGCTCCAGGCACCTTCTTATTTAGAAGCGGACCGTTCATGTCGGCCAGCGACAAGGTCGCGATTACCATTAATGGTCTCGGAGGGCATGCGGCTCGCCCACATCTTACAGTGGACCCGGTGGTGGTAGCGTCTAGCATTGTCATGTCACTTCAGACCATTGTTGCGCGCAATATCAACCCTGTCGAACCCGCCGTAGTAACGGTCGGTCTGCTTCAGGCGGGTGTTGCTAATAATGTGATTTCTAACAGTGCCTACCTTGAGCTGAGCATCCGCTCGTTCAGCAAGCTGGTACGTAGTCAACTGAAAGAGCGCATCGAAGCACTGATCCATGCCCAGGCAAACAGTTATGGAGCAACGGCCACAATCGACTATATGGCGGGTTACCCGGTGATCGACAACAACCGAGCGCAAACCGAATTTGCTCTGCAAGTAGCACGGGAACTAGTGGGTGATGAGCATGTGATTGCTCATGCCGATCAGCTTATGTCCAGCGAGGACTTCGCTTACATGCTTGAGCAGCGGCCAGGTTGTTTTTTACGCTTGGGCAATGGCGTTGGAGAAGATGGTTGTATGGTTCATAACCCGGCCTACGATTTTAATGATAAAAACTTACCAATCGGTGCTGCCTACTGGGCGCGCTTGGTCGAGCGGTATCTAAGCTAAATAAAAAATCAGGCCTACCGTAATGCTGGGCTCGTTTTTTTCTGCCTAGGTAATAGAAACCTCTTTGATCACGCCGTATTCGTCCGGCTAGATCACTTGGCCGGACGAAGGCTGTTGCCTCAGAAGGGGTGGTATAAAGGCCACTCTTCTTGGTCTGCAGAACCAACCAATTACTCTGTCAGGCTGACCCGGTGAATCGTACCCGGCCTCCGTTTAGCATAGTGGGTCACTCCGTCATGGCGTTCTGCGCGGCTGCGAAGACATCGCGTGCGGTCGTTGTCCCCGCTACGTGCTCCGTGCCGTCCACACCGAGGTCCATCCATCCCGCATTCACGGCCTCGTACATTTCTTCGGCAGGTCCGGTGCGGTCCTTCGGGATACCGAATTGCTCTAACGCTTGCGCCCACCCTGCACGTGGGATTGCCAAGGCTTTCACGTCGAGATTCAGGAATTCGCCCAATTGCGCCACGACTTCATCCGCAGTGACCATAGAACCCATCTCAATGAAACGCTGCCCTGACCACGCTGGCCCGGTCAAAAGGGTTGCGAACTGCGCGCCGATGTCGTCCGTCGCGACCATGGTTGATTTTCGATTTGTCGGATTATAGAAGACCGGTAACGTTCCGCTCTGCGCGACCTGCAAGCCGAAAAGAAAATTCTCGAAGAATCCGCCAGCGCGCACAAATGCGATTGGCGATATCAGGTCGCGAAAACCTTGCTCCAGAAGCGACAAGGCCATGATCACCCCGTGTCCAGTGGTTCTGTCCGCCCCCATTGACGAAAGCGCCACCACTCGCGGCGGCGCTGCCTTGGCGAGCGCCTCGACATAACTTGCAATCACGCCCTTTGCTTCTTTGTAATCAGGCGACGGCGCCCAGACAGGAGGCAACATGACGAAGGCGCCTTCGACGCCCTTGAGCGCTTGCTCGATGGCTGCCGAATCATTCCAGTCGCCGTCAACCAGTTCCACGCCCTGGTTCGCCCAGTCAACCGTCTTCTCGCGGTCGCGGACCAGAGCGCGCACCTTCTTGCCTTGCGCTAGCAAATGCCTTGCCGTCGCGCCGCCTACATTTCCCGTGATTCCCATTACTAAGAACATGCTTTTTCTCCTGAGTTTGAGGCACAGAGCACTACCCGAATTGTTCAACGGATGAGCGGTAAAATGGCTCGGATTTGGGCAACACGCAGATAGAGACCACCCCAAGTCATCGCTCCCAGAAGCAGAGAAATAATTTCCGGTGGCGATCCCAATTCACCGATGCGGACGTGAGCACAGATCGCGCCTCCCAAAAAGCCCGTCACCAGGATCGCGCCGAGGACAGCGGTGACCGGAATGACATAAAGGATGGCGCAGCCAAGGATGATCGGACCCACAACATGGGTCAGATCCATTGAGAACCCGGTTTCCTGCAACATGCTCGCGATGTGTGCGGGCGCGAAAAGCTGAATAGTGCCGTCTGCCATCAGAGCGATAACGACAAACCCGCTCATTATCCAGCCAGCCCATAGGGCGCGATGCAGGATCACAGCTTTATATACCTGATGCAGCTTCATGGTTTCGGACACTTTTTTCGAGGGGAGTCTCATTTTCGAAGGTACTGTGTCTCTCAAATATGATAAACACAGCCAAAGTGAACGCACTGCTCTTTTAAAATAGAACAATACAAAGGCGTGAAAAATGCAAAACCTCGACCCCCTCCTCATATTCATAACGGTAGCCGAGATGGGGAGCTTCACTCGGGCGGCCGATAGCTTGGGCATCCAAAAAAGGAAGGGCTTCCGCGGCGGTCCGCAAGCTGGAAGACGATGTCGGGGTCAGGCTTCTGCATCGAACGACACGTAGCGTTCAGTTGACGGAGGACGGACGCGCATTTCACTCCCGTGCCCGCGATCTGCTTGCTGAAGTCGATGGCCTACACTCAATGTTTGCTAGCGACCATATGGCACTTCGCGGGCGTTTACGGGTCGATCTTCCGACCGAGGTAGCGCGCACAACGATCGTGCCGGCTTTGCCAGATTTCATGGCGGCTCACCCTGGGTTGGAGTTGGAAATATCGAGTACGGATCGACAGGTCGATCTGGTTCAAGAGGGGTTCGACTGTGTATTGCGGCTTGGCCCCATCAGAGACGAAACGCTGGTTGCCCGCTCCCTAGGCCTGTTGCGCATGGTCAACGCTGGCAGTCCCGCTTATCTGGCGCGCTATGGCATCCCTCGCTCGCTAGAAGATCTGCAGCGTCAGGAACATCGGACAATTCATTTTTCTACGATGCTGGGCGCAAGGCCTTACGGATGGGAATATCCGGACGGCGACAGCTACGCGACGCTTCAGTTGCCAGGTACGCTGCACGTCAACAGCTCGCAAACCTATGATGCCGCTGCTCTCGCCGGTCTTGGCTTGATTCAGGCGCCACTCTTGGGGATTGGCCAATACTTCAAGAGCGGAGCACTTGTGGAGATCATGCCCGACTTTCGTCGCCGGGCGCTCCCCGTGTCCCTCGTCGTAGCGCATCGAAGCAATCTGTCGCGCCGAGTGCTCACCTTCATGAAGTGGATCGAAGGGGTGCTGACGCCGTACCTGGAACGGGAAGACTGAATCGCCCCTCATCTAATAGACATAAGACTGCTTCGGGTTGAAAGCCGTCCTTGGCGAGCATCAGTTTCTGGCAAATCTGAGCCTGTTACTACAGGCGAAAATCGACCCATAGCAGACCTACCGAACTGCATGGGCGTCCTTTTCCCAAGCAAGGAACCGTAGCTCGCTGCGCTTAGCCATTCCGTTTGCGGGTCTTGCTCTCCAGGTAGTGTTCGCCCCAGGACTTCATCGCTTCTAGTGTCGGAGTCAGTGTGCTTCCGAGCGCCGTCAGCGTGTACTCCACCCGTGGAGGCACTTCGGCAAATACTTCACGGCTGACAATGCCACTTGCCTCAAGCTCGCGCAGTTGCAACGTCAACGAGCGCTGCGTGACCCCGCCGATCAGCTTTTTCAGTTCGCCGAAACGCTTGGTTCCGCTCAGCAAGTAGTGAATGATCAACGGCTTCCATTTTCCGCCCGCGATGTGGACGGTGATTTCGACCGTGCATCGGTATTGATCGAGCTTGCCACGCGCCATGACGCTGCCTCAGTTCAGATAGAGCCTCGATAGTATACTTTTTATCCTTACGTATAAAGAATGTGCCTACTTGTAAAAAATATACTGGATTTTGACAATGGAGCCTTACGGAAGCATGCCTTCCACGTCGGAGAACAGATCCATGAAAGCCGCTTTTACGAGCGTCAAGGCCCCGCACATGAGGTGCTTTGCATCGCCGAAATCCCTGATCCCCAACCCGGTCCCGGAGAGGTCCGAGTGCGGGTGCACGTGTCGGGACTGAACCCTACCGACCTCAAGGCCCGCACGGGGTTCTCCTCCGCTATGCCGTTCACGCGAATCATTCCGCACCAGGACGGCGCAGGAGTCATTGACGCCGTGGGCGATCCGAAAGAGGCTAGTCGGGTAGGCCAGCGGGTATGGGTCTATGAAGCGCAATACGGCAGGCCGGCAGGAACCGCGGCCGACTATGTCGTGGTGCCGTCGGCGCAGGCCGTGCCACTGCCTGACAACGTGTCTTTCGAGGTCGGCGCATCACTCGGCATCCCGGCCTTGACGGCTCATCGTTGTCTCTTCGCCGATGGCGACATCCGGAGCAGGAATGTACTAGTGCAGGCCGGAGCGGGCGTGGTCGGCACTGCCGCCATCCTCCTGGCAAAGTGGGCGGGCGCGTGGGTAGCGGCCACCGTCAGGAATGAAGAGCAGGCCGCCGTCGCTCGGGCGGCTGGGGCAGATCTGGTGTTGAACCGTCTAAATGAAGATGTTGCCGCGGTAGTCAAAGCACGCACGGGCAACACGGGTGTGGACCGCATCGTCGACGTTAACGTGAAGGCGAACCTGGATATAGACATTGCATGCCTGGCGCCTGGGGGTCATCAGTTCCTACGCGATGACGCATGCCACCGATGCGCTCACCTTGCCGCTGTTAAGCGCGATGGTGCATGGATGCGTGCTGCGCTTCGTGTTTATCTATTCGGTACCCGTGGCGGCGAAAATCGACGCGATTAGGGACATCAACGCCTGCCTGGCCAGTGGCAACTATGTGCCCCATATCGGGATGAGTGTACCGCTGGAGAGGATCGCCGACGCGCACCTCGCTCTTGAATCGGCATCCGTTATGGGCAAGGTACTCGTCGCTTTGTGAGCGAGGTCGGTCACAAAGCCGACATTGCTAAGCGTCCGCTAATGGCCCAGAGTGTGTAAAAACGCTTTCCGGTAAACCCTTGCTATGATTTCTGAGGATTTCATCGCAAGGGACGCCCATGAAGCGCTTTATCCAAAGTGAACACCGAGGTCAAGGTACCTTACTTCCCGAGAGCCTCGACGACTACGTCAGCGATACCAACCCGGTGCGCGTAGTTGACGTTTTTGTCGATGAACTCGACCTGGCCTCCTTGGGTTTTGAGGGCGTTATCCCAGCCGAAACAGGCCGGCCTGCCTACCACCCAGCGATCCTGCTGAAGATCTACATCTACGGTTACCTAAACCGCATCCAGTCGAGCCGACGTCTTGAACGAGAAGCCCAGCGCAACATCGAACTGATGTGGCTGACCGGGCGTTTGATGCCCGATTTCAAGACCATCGCCAACTTCCGAAAAGACAACAGCAAGGCCATCCGCGGCGTCTGCCGCCAGTTCGTGTTGCTCTGCCAGCAGTTGGGATTATTTGGAGAACATCTGGTTGCCATCGACGGCAGCAAATTCAAGGCCGTGAACAACCGTGACCGCAATTTCACCAGCGCCAAGCTGCAACGGCGAATGGAAGAAATTGAATCGAGTATCAACCGTTACTTGGCGGCACTCGATGTTGCTGATCGGCAAGAACCCTACAGCTACCGCGCCAGACAGTGCCAGCGGTTGGAAGAGAAAATCGCCAAGCTCAAAACTCAAATGAAGGAGCTTCAGGCGATCGAAATCCAGCTCAACGATTCGCCGGATAAACAGATCTCACTGACCGACCCAGACGCCCGCTCCATGAAGACGCGCGGCACGGGAATCGTCGGCTACAACGTGCAGACAGCGGTCGATACGCAGCACCATTTGATCGTTGCGCATGAGGTTTCCAACGTCGGTTCCGACCGCGACCAACTCAGTTCAATGGCCAAGCAGGCCCGCGAGGCCATAGGCGTCAGAAACGCTGTCGGTAGTGGCTGACCGAGGTTACTTCAAAAGCGAACAAATCCTGGCTTGTCACGACGCAGGCATCACCGCCTATGTGCCCAAGCCGATGACCTCTGGAGCCAATGCTGACGGGCGTTTCAATAAAGATGCCCTCATCTATGACGCGGCAAAAAACGAATACATTTACCCAGCTTGAGAGGCGCTGATCTGGCACTATTCCTACATTGAAAAAGGCCTGAAGTTGCATCGTTACTGGAGTTCGAAATGCCAGGGCTGCGCGTTGAAATTGCAGTGCACACCGAGCACGGAACGACGAGTTCGGCGATGGGAACATGAAGCCGTACTGGAGCAAATGCAGAATCGGCTGAGCAACGCGCCGGAGATGATGCGAGTCCGAAAACGGACTGTTGAGCATCCCTTCGGGACGCTCAAGCAATGGATGGGTGCGACGCACTTTCTGACCCGAAAGCTTAACGGGGTAAGCGCCGAGATGAGCTTGAATGTGCTCGCCTACAACCTGAAACGGGTCATGAAAATCATCGGCACCACTGGCTTGATGAAAGCGTTAACGGCGTAAAAACCGGTCTTTTTTTGCCCTATCCAAAGGGCTTTAAGAGGTTGCTAAGCGGTTTTAACTGTTCCTGGAAACGTCACAGACTTGATCAGTTTTCGAAACGTAAGCACGGTCTCCTAGCGTAGATATAGAAAACCCAATCTGACGTTTTTACACACTCTGGACCATAAGCTGCCTGTCGTTTAGGCCGCTAGCTGTCTGTGGAAGACCACTGTTTCCAAACCAAGCCAGTCAGTTGACATGAGCGCATATGCAGGACGGCGTGTACCGGTAAACCGTTGAGATGACCGGTAGGTGCGGTTGCCTCTAACGCGCGAATGACGTGTCGACAGCCCCCTGTTCTCTGGAAATCCCGTCGAAACACGCGCTTGCAGTCGTGCTTCACATAATTGTCAGCATGGCAGAAGCTTTAAGCCAGCCATGGGTTCGCTTGCAGGTGAGCCGCTTCGAATTGGCGGATGGCATCGGTGCGCTGCAAGGTGCTGCCGATGGCATCCAGGCCGAGAAGTAACGCCTCCTTGCGTAGCCCATCAATGCTGAACGAGATGGATGTCTTATCTGCCAGTGTGATGGTTTGCGCCTCAAGGTCGACCGATATCGAAGCGGTTTCGAGGTTGCTAACCAGAGTGCCAAGCTTATGCAGCTCGGCCTCACTGAGTTGGATAAGTAGCACGCCGTTGCGCTGGCAGTTATCGTAAAAAATGCCAGCAAAGCTGGTACCAATCAACGCGCGAATACCCAACTGTTTGAGCCCCCACACGGCGTGCTCACGGCTGGAACCGCAGCCGAAGTTGGGCCCCACCACGAGAAAACTTGAGCCCTCCCAAGGCGTTTGATTCAGCACGAAATCGGGATTTTTGTCCCCATTGGTCAAAAACCGCAGGTCAAAGAAAAGACCGCGATCCAATCCATTACGGTCGATGCCCTTGAGAAACTGCTTGGGCATGATTACGTCCGTGTCGACATTAGCTGCCAGAATCGGTGCTGCTGTGCCAGTAACCGTTGTAAAGGGCTGCATATCAAGCCTCCTGGGCGAGTTTGCGAACGTCGGTCAGGTGGCCGCTGATAGCCGCCGCAGCAACCATGGCCGGGCTCATCAAGTGAGTGCGCGCACCTGCACCCTGACGGCCTTCGAAGTTACGGTTGGTGCTGGAGGCGCAGCGGTCACCGGGAGCCAACACGTCGTCATTCATGGCCAGGCACATGGAGCAACCCGACTGCCGCCATTCAAAACCAGCGTCGAGAAAAATCTGCGCCAAACCTTCTGCTTCAGCCCGCTCGCGCACCTGGGTAGATCCCGGCACGATCATCGCTCGCACGTGGGCTGCCACCTTGCGCCCACGAATCACTCTGGCAGCATCGCGCAGGTCTTCGATGCGGGCATTGGTGCAAGAGCCGATAAAGGCATGACTGATGGGAACCTCGCTAAGTAACGCGCCGGCTTCCAGGCCCATGTACCGTAAGGCCCGCTGCATATCTTGACGGCGTATCAGGTCCATTTCTTTGGAGTGGATCAGGTACCCGCTCGCCAATGTGCACCGTCTGGTCCGGGCTAGTACCCCATGTGACCATCGGTTGCAATTGGCTGGCATCGATGTCGACCTGGGCGTCGAATGTTGCGCCCGGATCGGTGTACAGCTCTTTCCAGCAGGTTATAGCCTGCTCCCACAGAGCCCCCTTTGGCGCGCGGGGCTTGTCGCTAAGGTACGCGTAGACTTTTTCATCGGGTGCCATGAATGCACCCCGCGCACCGGCTTCCACAGCCATATTGCAGATGGTCATCCGTGCTTCCACAGATAGATCAGTGATGGTCTGGCCATTAAATTCAATGGCAAAACCGGTTGCCCCTGAAGCCCCGATCTGACCAATCAAAGCCATGATGATGTCCTTCGACGTAACTCCGTCGCCAAGCGTCCCCATCACGGTCACCCGCATAGTTTTCAGGCGTTTATAGACCAACGTCTGGGTCGCCAGCAGATGCTCGATCTCCGAGGTGCCAATGCCAAAACCAAAGGCGCCCAAGGCACCGTAAGTAGTGGTATGGCTATCACCGGCGGCGATCACCATCCCCGGCAAAATGAAGCCTTGTTCCGGGGCGATGACATGCTCGATGCCCTGACGTTTATCCAGCACATCAAACAGCTCGATGCCGAAGTCCCGACAGTTTTCGCCAAAATAGGAAACTTGTCGCGCACCTCCAGCGTCGGGCATGGTTGCCGTTCGAATCGGCGACGTTGGGTTTACGTGATCAACCACGCCAAGCGTCGCAGACGGACGCCAGACCTTTCTGCCCGCTTCGCGCAGGCCACTGAAAGCCTGTGGGCTGGTGTACTCGTTAGCGACCTGGCGGTCGATGTAGAGAAGAACATGACCATCATCATCGAGCGCGGAGACCGCGTGGGAGTCGATGTGTTTTTCGTACAACGTTCGGAGTTTATTCATGGGGATCAAGCCTTTTTCTCAAGCTCTTCCTGGAGCAGGCAAGCCCACTGAGCGCCGTGCATATCGCGGTCCGCAATGGCACCTTGCACGATGGGTCGCGGCAGACTGATCTTGATAACGTTCAGTGCATCGATCTGGAAAATCTTCACGCCCTCGGGTGCCGTCTTGAGCAAATCCGCAACAGTCTGACTTTTCAGCTTTGGTTCTTTGCACAAGCGCTCAAACACATCGGCGTTTTCGCAAAAAATATCGACAGTCAACCAGAACGGTCCGGCGTTTTTAGAGCGTACGTCGTAGCCAGTATTTGCAAGCGCTGTCATTGGGATACTCCAAAGGTAGAAAACTCGAAAACGAATGGGGCCAATGGGTCGGTGACGGTCATCACGTGATTGAGGACAAATTCGTAGACGACGCCTCGGTCCATAGAGGCCGGTGAAAAAGGAAAAGCGTGCGTGGGCAACGACTCATCGTCTGGCAGCGGGAAGTGCAGCATGTAGGGATTCAGCAGCGACAATATTTCCCGAGTGCGCGTTTCATCCGGTGATGTGACGATGGCTAGAACACCGATTTCAACGGGATCGCCGGTGAGCGCCTCAAGGCTGCCCAAGGCCGAATCCTTGCCAATGGCGCGGAACTGCAAATCGTAGTCGGCAGCCTCAATTTCGAGACTCTTGCGAATGCGTTGGTGCATTGCCTCGTCCATGCAGGCAAGCCATTCCTCGAAGCGCGCCTTGTACTTCGGGTTACGGATGATGCACATGATGGTGGACTGGTATCCCGCCGGCGCAGCGCCCTCAAGCTTTACGGTATAGGTATCCGTTGGCGTCCATACCGAGCCTTCGACACGAACACTTTGCTCATCGAGCGCTGTGTAAGTGGCGGCTTCGACGTTTAGCGAACCACCGGGCTCTACGAGCACATACGGGTTACTGTTTTCATAAAGCATGTGCGCCATTACCGAACGCGGTGTCGCTTTCGCACCGTCGGCGATGGCCTGCAAGGTGAAGCCGTGGTCATCAATGGTGGCCATTACCACGGCCTTACCCGGCGTGGTGGTGCACATCGCACCGCACTCCAGAATCTTGCCAGCATGCCAGGAAGCGCCCGGTGCGGCACCGCGCATGATCGGCAACGAAGCCATCACCGCCGTGTCGGTCGCCCTACCCGCAAAAATAATATCTGCGCCCTTACTGAGCGCATGTATGAACGGTTCTATGCCCATCACGGCGACAATATGAGAACACCGATCAATCAGCGCTTCGTCAATTTCTCGCTGGGGTTGCAGGGAGCTGATGCGCCCTTCCCTTAGAGCCGTCTTTACCGTTTCGCCAAGCTGTTCGCTGTAGATGCATGCTACTTGGACGGTCTGGCCCAGTTCGATTGCCAGCTCCTCGCTGAGCCGACGCATCATGTTGACGCCATCGTCCGAGCCGCAGGTTCCGCAACTACCCACGATTAATGGGATACCCAGTTTTGCCCGGGCGATCATCAAGGTGCGCAGCTCAGACTTGAGCACCATGACTGACGATTTGGTCTTGCCCGTGCCCAGGTAATGCGGCCCGGAGTCAGTGGAGCCAGAATCTGTGGCGATCACATCGGGAAGTTCAAGTAGGGCCTGTTCGAAAGCAGCTAACGGCAGGCCTGAGCCCATCGAACCGGATGGGACCAGCACTTTTATAGACGTGTTCATGTCGAGTCCTTAGTAGATAGTGTTATCGGCCGTCAGCAATTGTGCAGTCGGGGGCAGAGCCGTTCCGTCGAATACGGCAACCACGCACCGAGCCGCCACCAGGTTGGTCCGGTCAAGCCCTTCACGGGTAGAGGCGCCGGAGTGAGGCGTTGCAATGACATTCGGCAAGGCAATCAGCGCGTCGGTCACCGGTTTATAAGCGGGGTCGGACTCGCTCAGGAATACATCAAGTCCAGCGCCGGCAATGCGGTTTTCGGCCAAGGCGGTCAGTAGGTCTTTGTCGTCGACCAAACCACCGCGGGCGGTATTGATTAGGTAGGCACTGGGCTTCATCCGCTGCAAAGCAGCGCCATTGATCAAACACTGCGTGGCCGGGTTGAGTGGCGCATGCAGCGTGACGTAGTCACTTTCGGCAAGCAGCGTATCGAGGTCGACATAGGTCACACCTGTCTTCCGGGCATAATCAGCGTCAGGCTCCGGCGCCACGGCTAATATCCGCGCCTCGAAACCGATCAACCTTTGCACCACCGCTCGGCCAATACGACCCAAGCCAATAATGCCGACGGTTTTGCGGTACAGATCGGTGCCCAACAGGATCGACCAATCGCCGGCGATCATCCGCTCTTGCGACTCTCGAATGCGGTGGCCCAGTGACAACATCATTGCCAGGGTTCGGTCGGCGACGCAGGCGTCATTGCTGCCCACCGCGATGGTTGCAACCTTGCCATGGGCATTTACCGCCGCCACGTCGACACGCTCATAACCCACGCCACGGCGAGCGATGACCTGCAGGCGAGGTAAGGCGGCGAGCAAGCTTGCGGTGACATGCGCGTGGCCGACAATCCAGCCATCGCAGTCTGTTAACAGCTCCACCAGCGCCTCCTGCGAAAGACCACCGTCGGCCTGACCCGCCGGAAGGTCGGCTATCACCACCTCACAGCCGGCATCGCGTAACCAGTGGATGGTCGCCTCGTCGAAAAAACGCTGAGTGACGACAATCTTTCGTTTGTTCAACGTCATATCAGGCCACATCCGATTGACGTTCTGTCTGGGTTACCATCAGCGACGATGGATATTCGATGTCAATGACCAGGTTGTAATGCTCATCGACAGTGAACTGACAGTCCGGCCCGACGCTGCAACTCGACTCGCGCTCCTCTATTACTGCAGGTCCAGTGAGCAGGGTGCCCGGAGCAATGGCGTATCGGTCGTAGACAGCGGCAGTGAGGTCGCCAAACTCAGGAAAATACACTTGGCGCTCGCCGCGTCGTGCTTCGGTATTCGCCTGGCTATAGGCAAGGCTGATGTCTTGCTCGGGGAGCGAGGCCGTCAGCCGCCAATTGATAGCTTCAACCGGCACGCCCTTGACCATGCGATCAAAGCGCTCCAGGTATGAATCAAGGAATGCCTGACGAATCACCTCGATATCCTGGTTACCCAGCAGTCCTCTGGGGATCGGTACGGATATCTCGAAACCCTGTCCCAGGTAACGCATGTCCACTGACCACGCCATGTGAATGGCTTGTGCATTGCCACCGGCTTGTACCAGCAGGTTTGTGCAATAGGCCTCCATCTCGTCATAGATGGATTGCACGTGCGCCCAATCGGCGTGGTCGAGCTGGGTCACGTAACCACGAACTTGATCTACAGCAGGTGCGGCAACCAGGAAACCGAAAGCGGAAATAACCCCTGCGCCCATCGGGACGACCAGGCGCCGAACCTTGAGCAGCTTCGCCAACCCGTATGCGTGCACTGGGCCCGCACCCCCGAAGGCATACATGGTGTAGGCACGCGGGTCCTTGCCCTTTTCAGCCAAGTGCATCCGCGTAGCGGCAGCCATGCTCTCGTTGACGATGCTCTGGATGCCGCGTGCGACCGTTACGGCATCGGTTTCCAGGGGTTTGGCCAGCTTTTTATGCATGGCGTCCTTGACCTTGCCAAGCGACAGGTTGAGTTCACCGCCTAGGAAATACTCGGGATTGAGGTTGCCCAGAAGCAGATCTGCGTCCGTCACGGTAGGCTCGGTCCCGCCCTTGCCGTAGCACACAGGCCCCGGCACCGAACTCGCGCTTCGCGGGCCGACCTTCATCAGCCCCAGTTCATCGATGCGGGCAATCGATCCGCCGCCCGAACCGATTTCAATCATGTCAATTACGGTGACTTTAAGGGGCAGTCCAGAACCTTGCTTGAAGCGGCTCAGCCGCCCAGCTTCGAAATCATGTTTAACGTGAGGCCGACCGTTCTCGATCAAACACATCTTCGCGGTCGTACCGCCCATGTCGAAGGAGATGATCTTGTCTTCGGCGATTTGCCGGGCCGTGAATGCAGCCGCCATGGCGCCCGCCGCTGGCCCTGACTCGATTAACCGGACAGGAAAGGCCTTGGCATCATCGATGGTGGTCACCCCGCCACCTGACAACATGATGTACAGGTCGCCCGCAAAACCCAGCCCCTGCAACTCTGCGCTCAAGCTATTCATGTAGCCGTGAACCCGCGGCTGGACATACGCATTGACACACGCCGTGCTGGTGCGGTCGAACTCCCGAATTTCCGGCGCCACGCTGGATGACAGGGTCACCAGCAAGTCGGGGTAGAGTTCAGCAATGATCTGCGCGGCGCGCTTCTCGTGAACCGGGTTGCGATACGAATGCATGAAGGCAATGGCCAGCGACTCTATCTGATGCACTTCCACCAAGTGCGTCACCGCTTCGGCAACGGCGGCTTCGTTAAGCGGGGCATGCTCAACACCATCTGCCCTGATCCGGCCAGCGATACCCAGCCGCAGTGAGCGGGGAACAAGGACCGGAACGGCCTCTAGAAAAAGGTCGTCCACGTCGTAGCGACTTTCCCGGCCCATTTCCAGTACATCACGGAAACCTTCTGTGGCCAGTAACCCCACCTTCGCCCCAGTGCGCTCGAGCACCGTGTTGGTGATCAACGTCGTGCCGTGGACGATGGTCTGGATTTGCCCAGCCAACGTGTCTGTTTCCTTGAGCAGGCGCTGGATACCCTCAATAATCGCGCGGCTCGGGGCTTCAGGAGTGGTCAGACGTTTGCCGGTACGCGTGATGCCGCGCACTTCGTCATGGAAAACGAAGTCAGTGAACGTACCACCAATGTCGACGCCGATACGCGTGGTTTTTGGACTGCCATAGTGAATTCCTCGTTACTGGGCATCGGAATACCCATAAATCTCGGCCGCGGCCTGCGTTGAAATGAAACCGTCGTCAATGTCTTGCTGGATGGCCGCTTTGCAGCGCTCGCCTACCGGGCCGTACCCGCCGCCACCGGCAAAGAAAAACGTCACGTGTTGGCCGGCCGGCAAGGACACCTGGGACTTGAGCGGTGGTCGACTTCCATCCTGGAACACCACATCGGTGGGCGCCCCGGGCAGCCCCCGGCAATGCCCAAGGCTGGATGGTCGTGGCGGTCGGCTAGAATCGCCAACTGGACAGGCTGCTGAGTGATGTTGCGGACTTCACAAGCCTGTCCCAGGCCGCCGCGTTGGCGTCCCGCGCCGCCGGAGTCGATGCGGAACTCCTTACGGTTGACCAGGATGGGCGAAACAGCCTCCATGGCCTCGATGCTGCCGGCCCCAGAGTTGGTAGGGAACGCAGTTGTAGACAAGCCGTCGCGAGCAGATGAGGCGCCCATCCCGCCGCTGGCGAAGAGGATTTGGGAGAACGGGATACCTGCCTCACTTCGACCGCTAAAGCGCGCCCGCATTGCCGGAGTGCCACCACTGTCGGCAATAACTTGGTCAGGCAATACATCTGCCAACGCTTGGTAAATGGCGCAGCACAACAAATGTCCGGTCAGGTGCCGAGCGCCCACCGCTGCAGGGAAACGTGCATTGAGAATGGAACCCTGCGGCGCCGTGACTGTTATGGCGCGATAGGAACCCTCGTTACGACGGGTCAACGGATCCAGCACACATTTGAGCGGGTAAATCGAATAGGCCTGGGTGTAGTTCAATGTGCAGTTGGTGCCACGGGCAACTTGTGCAGAGCTTCCATTGTAATCGACGGTCATGTCCGTATCGGCGACCGTAATCGTGCAGTTGATTCGCGTGGGCAACCCATCGAAACCGTCAGCGTCTACGCACGCCGTGTAGGTACCGTCAGGTATGGCGCCGATAGCGCGGCGCATCGCCATTTCCGAATGCCCATGAACGGCGTCCGACAGGAGTTCAAAATTACGCAGGCCGGTGTCGACTAGGAACTCGATTGCCTTTTTTCGGCAAACGTCGTTGGCGGTAACCTGAGCTTCCAGGTCTCCCAACACCTGCTCAGGTAAACGCACGTTGTTGAGGAACAGCTCAAGCATCGCGTCGTTTCGTTGGCCGGCATGATAGAGGTGCATGAGTGGGATACAGATGCCCTCCTCGAACAACTCTCGGTTACCGGGCCCGGGGTTGCCGCCGGTGTCGGGCGAGTGCGCGGCAGAACCTGCGAAACCGATTAACTCGCCTTCGTAAAAAATGGGTGTGATAACGGTGATGTCGGGCAGGTGTCCCGTGGCGAGCCAAGGGTCGTTAGTAATCAGGCAATCACCGTCACGTAACGTGTGCGGTTTGAATTTCTCCAACATCGCCTTGGCTGTACGCGGAATAATGCCCGCGAAAGCAGGGATTCCACCGGAACACTCAGCGATGGACTCGCCCTTGACGTTCATCAACGTGGTCGCAAAATCGTTGGACTCACGAACAATGGTGGAGAACGCAGTACGCAGCAGCGTGGTGGCGGCTTCGTCGGCAACGGCGACCAAGCGGCTCCACCATATTTCGAGCGTAATCGGATCTATATTTTCTTTTTTTAAGTGATTCATAACCGCTCCAGGTACACAGTCAGGTGCGTCCGCAAACACACCGCAATGACGGGTTGAAAATCAGCAAGCGGCTCGGTAGTCAGCCCCGGTGTCAGCCAGCTGTTTACCAGTGTCGATGCTGGTCTCAAGGACCGACAAGTGATCTTTTTGGGTGGCAGCCGTCGTTACTTTCGATGGCTGTCTTTCGCGTAGAAGATGGGCGATCAAACGCCGCGTAACGGGCGAGTTAACTTCCGCTGGCCGTGCACAAAGCATGAAGTTTCCGCCTGCCCACGTTTCGTCCAAGGCAATGACTCGCAAATCGTAAAGCGCCGTAAATCGCGCAATGGCTTCCACAGGAAATATCCCGATCGCATGGCCCGACTTGATCACTCTTAGCGCGGCATCAAATGACGAAACGTAAAACCGAATACTCACCTCACGATCCATATCCCGAGCCAGCTTTTCCATCGGAGGTTGCAACGCTGCGTTCAGTGAAAGCGCAACGTGCTCGTAGATCAGGGTTTCGTTGAAGGCAACACTCGTGCGGCAGGCCAATTCATGCTGCGGGTGAACGACCACAGCGAAACGATCGGAACCGCAGGGGTAACTCAGCAAACCGTGCGGCACTGGCATTTCCCGGCAGATACCAATATCCGCAGAGCCATTTTCTACGCTGCGTAACACCTGGGTCGTCACGGCTTCATCAAGGCTGATTCGAATGTGAGCGTTGTCGCCTAGAAAGGTTGCCAAGCACTCCGGCAGAAACTCGACCATTGCTGTAACCACGGACAGCACTCGAACATGGCCGCGAATGCCATCGCCGTACTCTCCGACCTCGGCTCGCATTCGAGCCAGGCTGTGCAAGATTTGCCGGGCATGCAGCAGCAGCGTTTCACCTGCCGCCGTCATGCGCACACCACGGGGTTCGCGAGTCAGTAACGTGGTACCGAGCTCCGCTTCCAAGTCCGAGATTCGCTTGCTCAAGGCCGACGGCGAGAGACACTCACGCTCCGCCGCACCGGCAAGGCTTCCCACTTCGCAAACAGCAACAAATAACTTCAACGACACTGGATCTGGATACGTCATCACACCCCCCACCGAACATTCACTGCTCTTTCATCTTCAGTGCTTGCAACGAGGCTTGCTTTGATTTGTGGCGAGGTATCACGATGAACAAAGTCATTAGTGCCGCCAATAACAATGCACCGCTCAATACGAACAGCCCCGCCGAGGACGTACCGGTCGCCTTCTTGACCACGCCCACGATATAAGGGCCAACGAACCCACCGCAGTTACCTAGCGATGAAATGATTGCCGCAGCAACCGCCACCGTTGGTTTGCTAAACAGCTGCGTCAACATGGCAAAAAATGGCGATTTCGTAGCGAAGATTCCGGTCAGCGCCAACGTAATTGCCGCCATGCCTAGGTAAGGGTCTTGAGTGGTTCCTGCGACGAACAGGCCTATCGCCCCCAGCAATAACGGAATGGCAGTAAAAAATTTGCGCTCATAGAAGCGGTCCGACAAACGCGCCCAAATCACGAGACCAACACCAGCCGCCGCATACGGAAGGCCGGCGATCAAGCCAATTTGAGTCAATGAAAAAGCCGCTGAAAGGTTCTGGACTATCTGGGGCAACCAATAGCCGATACCCAATGCACCTACTTGGGAAAGGAAATAGATGACCGACAGATAAAGGATTATGGGGTTGGTCAACGCTTGCCACGTACCCAAATGAGTAACGGGAGGCTGGCTGGCTTTTTCTCGCTCAAACTCGGCCGCCAACCAGTCTTTCTCACTCTGAGTGAGCCAGGTGGCTTTCTGCGGGCTGTCTAACAAGTAGCGATAACACAGCACGCCGCCCACTATCGCGGGTAACCCTTCCAGAAAGAGCATCCAGCGCCACCCTGCGATGTCGCCGAGTGTGACGTAGTGCATCAGCGCAGTGCTGAGCGGCGCTCCCACCAGATAAGTAACAGGCGCTGCAAGCAAGAACAGGCCGGTTGCTGTGGCACGCTCCTTTTCGCGAAACCACAAGGCGAAATAGAACACCATGCCTGGCAGGAAGCCTGCCTCAGCGACGCCGAGTAAGAACCGTAAAACGTACAGTTGATTTGCGGTTTGAACGAAAGCCGTCAGAGTCGCAACCACACCCCAGGTCAGAATGATTCGAGCTATCCAAACCCGCGGCCCAAATTTGATCACCAGCATGTTGCTGGGCACTTCAAATAACACGTTGCCTATAAAAAAATCCCTGCTGCAAACCCGAACGCCTCACTGGTCAGTGCCAAGTCAGCGTTCATCTGCAGCGCGGCGTAGCCCAAGTTGACTCTGTCCAGAAAGGCTACGAAATAGAGAAAAAAGGTAAGGGGGATAATCCGCAGCATGACTTTTCGGATGATCTTTTTTAACGGTGACGGGGGCAAGCTCGGGACTCATGTCGGTCTCCTGGGGAGCGCGTATTTCTTGTTTTTGTGGGCGGACAATTGCCGTCTGTTTTTTTCTGCAAAAAAATCTGGGCTGAGACGACCTAACTGGAGACGTCATGAGCCTTGGCTGCGTGCGGACCAACATATAGCCAGCTGTAAAAGGTGTAAATCTCTACTGGATCAATCAACCTATTACAAATAAGCTGCTACTCCCAACCTCATCAATGAGTCGAAAGCCATGCCAAGCGAAGACGATTTGTACATGAGCGCCGACGAAGCAGCTGGATTGCTCGGTATTGCTCATAAAACTCTCTATGCCTACGTGAGCCGCAAAAACATCCGCTCGCTAAAGGTTGGCACATCGCGCAGCCGCCGCTATTGGGCTGCTGACATCCACCGACTACTCGTCGAGCAGGGCGCCGCCGCTGCTCCAGCGCCGCCCCCGCAGGTGGCTACCCGCACGAACATCACTCTGCTGACAGAGCAAGGCCTTTACTATCGAGGCCACGACGTAGCGGTGCTAGCTGAAAGCTCAAGCGTCGAAAGCGTCGCCCAGATGATGTGGCAAGTAGATGGCGCATTCGACCATCCCCTGCCCAAGGTGCCAGCCGGCGCAACTGCAATTCTCGACGCCATGGCGCAAACGTCCGCCGTTGAAAAAGCCATCGCCCTGTTCCCGCTCATCGAACGCGACAATCCCCGCGCCCACGACTTGTCGATGCAGGGCCTAGCCCGCACGGGAGCTGAGGTGATGCGCTGGTTTGCTGCGCTGATCGTCGGCGCGAAGTGCCCGGCTGTCGGCCCACTGCCACAGGCAATAGCACGCGCGCTGGAGCTGGACGAAGCTGGGGAGGACTTGATTCGGCGAATTTTGATTCTCAGCGTCGACCACGAGTTCGACCCTGCCACTTACACCGTCAGAGCCGCCGCCAACGCTGGTGTAACCCCTTACTACTCGACAATAGCGGGGCTATCCACATTCAGGGGGCGGCGTCTGAGCTATGCCCGCACGGAAATGATGGTGCGCATGCTGGAAGAAATTTATGTGGCCGACGATCCTCGCGAGCCCATTCTGCTGCGCAACCGGCAGGGTGAGCCAGTCCCCGGATTCGGCTCAAACCAACACAGCATTGCTGACCCGCGCGCAAAGAGCCTGCTCAACCATCTGCGTCGAATTTATGCGCACGATGAAGACTTTCAGCGCCTGCTCATTGCTGCCGAGACGGTAGAAGAAATCTCCGGCAAGCCTCTGGACTTCATTCTCCTGCTGGTTTTTTGCGGCCGTAAATTGAATATGCGCGGACAGGAAATCGTGCTTGCCGGCCTGGGTCGCATGGTCGGTTGGCTCGCCCACGCCAGCGAGCAATATCACCAGCACGACTTGATTCGCCACCACGCTGTGTACACCGGCCCCCTTCCCGGCCCCGCGTAACCCGCGCCATCGCCCAAGGAACGCCCTACCCATACCCGCAATCCCTAAGGTTGATTGATCCCGTAGAGATATACAGCACCGAAATGATTCATTAGCCTTCGGAAATCCTAGTTAGGTAGATACATCCACCAATGTAATCAACCTAACCAGCGGTGCTGGACGTGGACCTCCATGGTAGCTCCGCGGCTATCGTCCAAACAGGCGAAATACGCGGGAAAACTCGATACAAAAACAACAATAAGCAGGGGTGGGCGAAATGAAGCTTTCAGGTAACTCCCGATTCCGGGACGGCAACTGGCTGTACAAATTGCCGCTGGTGCTTGCGCCGTTGGCGTGCACGATCTCCATGACTGTGCGAGCTAGTGATTTCGAAATTGGCGAAGTGAGCGGGCGCTACAACGGCAGCATAAGCGCTGGGGGTATTTGGAATGCCTCAAAGCCTCAGGCATCAGCCATTTCCCAGGGCAACGCCAATAGCATTGGCTATGGATCGGCGGGCCAGTTCAACCCCAATGGTGGGCGCACGGGTGATGACAGCCGCCTCAACTTCCACAAGCGTGGTGAGCTGGTTTCCTCGCCAGTGACCGCGTTGGGTGAAATTGAATTCAAGTGGCAAAACTATGGCGCCTTTCTTCGCGCGAAGGCTTGGTATGACTACACGCTGAATAACAAAGACGTGCCATTTGGTAACTCCACAAACGGCTATGACCACAATGCGCCCCTGAGCGACAGTCACTTCGATGACCTTGCCAAGTTTCAAGGAATCGCGCTTCTGGATGCCTATGTATTTGCCGACTACGAGATCGGTAGCCACCCCCTGAATGTGCGGGCCGGTAATCAAGTGGTGAACTGGGGGGAAGGGTTGTTCTTCCAAAATGGTATCAACTCGATAAACCCGATTGACTCCGCAGCCTTGCGGCGGCCCGGCGCTCAGGTGAAAGAGGGGTTGCTGCCAGTCCCGATGCTGTACGGCAACTTTGGTGTGACCGATAGCCTCAGCGTTGAATCGTTTTATCAGTTGGAATGGCGCAAAACGGTGCTTGAGGGATGCGGCACGTACTTCTCCACCAATGACTACGCCGCTCCCGGTTGTTTCGGCATACCTCAAAGACCCAGCGCAAACGATCAGATCAGTATCGAGACGGGCCAATACATCGCCCGCGCAAAAGATAAAGAAGCCCGTGACAGTGGGCAGTTTGGATTGGCGCTGAAATACTTTGCCGACAGCATAGGAACCGAGTTCGGCGCCTACGCTATGAAAATTCACTCACGTACGCCCTACATCAACACCATCGCCGATCAGCGCCTGTCCGGTGCGGGTTGGCAGAATCCGACAACCCAAGCCATCGCTGATGCGAACGCCAAATACTACGACGCATTCCCCGAAGACATCCGCATCTTTGGCCTCAGTTTCTCAACCGAAGCGATGGGTTCTACGGTGTTCGGCGAGTACAGCTACCGGCCCAATCAGCCGGTGCAACTGAATAGCTCGGACACGCTTCAGGCCTATGCTGGCGACCCGAGTTCAGCCCTCAACGGTACCGGTGGGTTCGGCGGCGTAGTGGTCCCGTTACCTCAGGGGCCGGACGGCCTGGCAGCGGCACCTGGGGCCAAAGTGAACGGTTATGACCGCCTCAAAATTTCACAGCTATCTCTCGGCACTACCCGAACGTTTTCTCAGGTATTGGGGGCGGACAGCCTAAGCCTTACGGCAGAGGCCGCTGCGAAGTACATCCATGATCTACCGAGCCTTGATGAGCGGCGTTATGGTCGTACCGACATCTACGGCACGGACATGGCGAACGGTAGCGCGAAGGGCTGCCAGGTCGGCGTGCCGGTCGAAAAGTACAAAAAATACGCGTGTACCAGCGACGGTTTCGTAACTGCTTTTTCTTGGGGCTATCGACTCAGAGGGCAGTTGAACTATCCGGGCGCATTTCTCGGTGTGAACGTCTCGCCATATGTGGCATTCGGCCAAGACGTCAAAGGTTGGTCGTATGACGGCAACCTCGTTGAGGACAGATTGACCGGGTCGGTGGGGATCAGGGCGGACTATCGCCAGACCTATTCAGCAGACCTTTCATGGTCCGGCAGCGGCAATACGCCATACGCGTCTACCGACAAGGACTTCATTGCCCTTAGCGTACGAGCGGGTTTCTAACCAGGAGGCACACAATGAACAACAAATACCTCTATACAGCACTACTCTCGAGCGTGATTGCCCTGGCAAGTGGCGCGGCGACCGCTCAGTTGAGCGAAGGCGAACTCGCACGGCTCAGCCAAGACTTGACCCCTACCGGCGCGGAAAAAGCGGGGAATGCTAATGGCACCATCCCTGCCTGGGACGGTGGCCTCACCAAGGCTCCCGTGCCGTTCAACCGAGAGAAAGGCTACGTCGACCCATACGCCGCCGACAAGCCACTGTATACAGTGACCAGCGCCAATTCGGCTCAGTATGCTGACAAGCTGGGAGCCGGCTATAAAGCCATGCTCTCCAAATTCCCTGACTTCAAGATGATCGTCTACCCGACGCATCGAAGTGCAGCGCTTCCCCAAGCCGAGTACGACCAGATCCGTAAGGAAGCGGCCAACGTGAAGCTCGCCGATAACGGCGCTGGAATGGTCGGTTATCAACGTACCACTGTGCCGTTCCCTGTTCCCAAGCAAGGGCTTGAGGTTATCTACAACCACTATGTGCGTTATCGCACGGGCGAGATCCACAATTATCCCACCGAAATGGTGGTGCAGGGTTCTGGCGGCTTTACACCTACCCACCGTGAATCAATCTTGGTCATGGCTTCAGCCTTGAACAATCCAGAACCGAATCGTCTCTACTACACGTTGCTAAAAATCACTGGACCAGAAAGCGTCGCTGGCACAGTGACTTTGGCGCACGAACCCATCGACCAGACCAAGGAAACTCGCTTGGCTTGGCAATACAACCCAGGGCAACGCCGAGTCCTTCGGGCGCCGGAAGCAAACTACGACACGCCAGTGTCGACGGCAGACGGTTTGCGCACCAACGACATGATCGATATGTACAGCGGTGCGCCCGACAAATACAACTGGAAGCTCATCGGCAAGAAGGAAATGATTGTTCCGTACAACACCTACAAACTGGCTGATCGCTCCCTAAAATACGAGGAGATTGCTAAGGCTGGGCACCTCAATCAAGACCTGTTGCGCTATGAACTGCACCGCGTATGGGTGGTGGAAGCCACGCTCAAACCGGACGCCAGGCACATCTATTCCAAGCGGGAATTTTACGTAGACGAGGACAGCTGGAACATCCTTGCCGTCGACCTATTCGACGGAAATAACGGGCTCTGGCGGATGCAGGAAGCCCACACATTGCAGCGCTACGACGTCCTGTCGAACCTTCAAATCAGCGACGTGAGCTACGACCTGCAATCTCAGCGTTATGCCGTTTATGGCTTGGAAAATGAGGAAAAGCCTGCCGAGTTCGGCCTCAAGTCGAAATTCACCGACTTCAGCCCGGCAGCGCTACGCCGCAGCGGTCACTGATCGATAAACGCTGGCGTACTCAGGGTGGGCAACTGGTGTTGCCTGCCTCTTTCCAATTCAGAGACACGCACCATGCAAATATCTAGACGCCCCGCGTTGCTGGGCATTGCGGTCTGGCTATGCGTCGCTTCGCATCCCGGCAATGCAGCTGCCCTTGCGGATCGGCTGCAACGTGAAGCGCCTACCCAGCCAACTCCCACTCGCCAGCCACTTACTAGTGTGCAGCAGCACAACGGAACCCTCGTCATGGTCGGCGCCAATGGACTAATACTGCTCAGCGACGCCAACGGCACCACCCAACAAGCCCAAGTGCCCGTAGACCTGCTGTTGACCTCAGTTTATTTCGTCGACGCTCGCAATGGCTGGGCAGTGGGTCATGACGGTGTAATTCTTAACAGCTCCGATGCAGGTGCTACCTGGACGACCCAGAGCGATGGCGCCGCTATCGGCAAATTGATGAAACTGAGTGCTGAGCAACGTATCGCTCGGCTACAAGCCGAAACGCCCAGCGACGACGTTAATAGAGCGCTGGACAACGCCAACTTCATGCTCGACGACGTCAACGCTGGATTGCAGTCAGGGCCGTCCAGACCCTTGCTGGACATCTGGTTTCGTAATGCCGACGAAGGCTGGGCGGTGGGTGCGTATGGGACCGTACTGCACACCGTGGACGGCGGTAAACAATGGCAATTCATGGAAGGTTTGGACGACCCTGAACGTCTGCATCTGAATGCCATCGTCGGCTTAGCAGATGGCACCCTCTTAATTGCCGGTGAAGGTGGCCGAATTTACCGCTCCATAGACGGTGGCAACCGCTGGACGGCGCTACCGGCCACGACGCCTGCCTCGCTGTACAAATTGATCGCACTGCGCGATGGACAAGTGTTTGCGCTGGGGTTTGGCGGCACGCTGCTTAGCAGCAAAGATCAAGGACAGCACTGGCAACTCATCCCTCTACCCACGCATGCCAACCTCTACGGGGGCGCCCAATTGCCGGACGGTGATTTAGCGCTGGTGGGTCAGGCTGGCACTGTTTTGTTAAGTCAGGACTCGCGCAACTTCAGGCGCTGGCAGGGACGTGGAAGAGCCGCGTTACTGGGTATAGCGATGTTATCGGATGGTCAGATCGCACTGATCGGCAGTGCCGGCTTGAGCCGCATAGCGCTATCGGAAATTGAGGCCAACCTGCAATGAATTCGCCAATCAAAATTGAAGCAACGACCCGTGAGGCCTTTTTCCAACGCCTTGTAACACGGATCGAGAACCTGCTATTCAACCACCGCCCAGCCGTGTTGGTCATGTCCATCGTGGTTGCATTACCGCTACTGTATTTGGCCTCTCTGCTGCGGCCCGACGCCAGCTTTACCCGGATGATCCCCACTCACCACCCCTACATAACGCACTACCTCAAATACGAAGACATACTTCGTCCGCAGAGCAATGTTCTGCGCGTGGTGGTGGAAAGCACTAACGGTGAGGACATTTTTACGCAGTCCTACATGGAAACGCTTCATAAAGTCACCGATCGTATTTTCTATATTCCGGGCGTCGATCGAGGCAACCTGAAATCGCTATGGACGCCCAATTCAAAGTGGTCGGAAGTCACCACCGACGGTGTTCGGGCTGGGCGGATTATTCCAGACACCTACAAAGGCGATGCGCCGTCACTAGTCCAACTACGGCAAAATATTCTTCGCGCCAACATGCTGGGCAGCCTGGTCGCTAACGACTTCAAGTCCACCGTCATCTTGGTGCCACTGCTCGAGCAAGATCCTCAGACCGGCAAGCCACTGGACTACGGCAAGTTGACGCAAGCGCTGGAAGTTGAGGTCCGCGAGGCATTTGACGGTCACGGCGTGCAGATACGGGTGATCGGGTTTGCCCAGATCATCGGTGACTTGCTGGCAGCGGCCGCAGACGTTGCGCTGTTCTTCGCTATTACCGTACTGCTGATCAGCGCCGTGCTCTACGGCTATTGCCGTTGCTGGCGAAGCACGGTGGTTACGGTGCTCATTTGCCTGGTGACGGTGGTCTGCCAGTTGGGCTTGCTCAATTTGCTAGGCCTGGGATTGGACCCCTATTCGATTTTGGTGCCCTTTCTCATTTTCGCCATTGGCATCAGCCACGCCGTGCAAAACATCAATCTGATGATGAGTGAGATGGCCTCAGGGGCAACCTCACTCGAAGCATCGCGCAAAACGTTTCGCGCCCTATTCATACCCGGCGCCACCGCACTTTTGGCAGATGCGGCGGGCTTCATCACGTTGCTGGTGATACGGGTCGGCGTTATAGAACAGTTGGCAATTGCCGCAACCATCGGGGTGTTCGTTGCGTTGTTCACCAAGATGTTCCTGCTTCCCGTCTTGATGTCTTACGTTGGCATCAGTCGAGGCGGGCTGCGCAAGCAACAAGCACGACTGAACTACTCATGGCCGATATTCAGTCGCGTCTCCCGGGTAGTCGAGCCACGATTTGCCTGGCCCTTGATCGCTGTCAGCCTGTTGTTGTTGGCCTACGGTTATGACGCTCGGCAGGACTTGAAGATCGGAGACCTGAACCAGGGGGCGCCCGAGTTCCGGGCGGACTCGCGCTACAACCAAGACAACGCCTACCTGCTGGCTCACTACAGCACCAGCACCGATGTGTACGTGGTGATGCTTACTACGCCCAAGGAACAGTGCGTCCGCTTCCACGCAGCGGACCTTGCCAACCAGCTTGAACAGACACTTCGTGCGGTACCCGGCGTAGAGTCCGTTCAGTCGCTGTACCAAACCATGCGATTCAATATCGTGGCGCGCAACGAGGGCAACCCCAAGTGGGCCGAATTTTCCCGAGATAAGTTCGTCATGAACTCCGCGCGCGCGGGCGTGACATCAGAGTTGGTTGATGCCAATTGCAGCGTGGCCCCCATTAGCATTTACCTTGCCGACCATAAGGCGGAAACGCTAACGCGGGTAGCCAGTGCGGTCAGCGAGTTTTCTGCAAAATACTCGACGCCTGATCTGCAAATTCTGCAGGCCGCCGGCAACGCCGGTATTGAGGCTGCCACCAACGAAGTCATCGCGAGTTCCGAAACGCCGATGTTGATTTTGGTGTTTGCGATTATCAGCGCCGTAGTGTTGTGGGAGTTCCGCTCACTCAAAGTCACCCTTGCGCTGATGGCCCCTCTCTACCTCGCCACTGTTCTGTGTGAGGCGGTCATGGCCAAACTGGGGCTGGGGGTTAAAATCGCCACACTCCCGGTCGTGGCGCTTGGCGTAGGCATCGGGGTGGACTACGGCATCTACCTCTACAGCCGATTAGAGGGTTTCCTGAAGCAGGGAATGGACATGCGCACCGCTTACTTCCAGACGCTCAAGACTACCGGTAGCTCTGTTGCATTTACCGGTCTTACCTTGGCTCTTGGCGTGTCGACGTGGATCTATTCGTCAATAAAGTTTCAAGCGGATATGGGCTTGCTGCTCGTCTTTCTTTTCCTATGGAACATGCTAGGTGCGCTACTCCTAATGCCTGCCCTTGCCGCGGTCCTGCATCGTCGGAAGCGGTTGAGTAGCTGACCTTTGCGCCACGAAAAGATGGGCGGTTGAGCATCCCTTCGGGACGCTCAAACAATGGATGGGGGCGACGCACTTCTTGACGCGAAAGCTCAACGGGGTAAGCGCCGAGATGAACTTGAACGTGCTCGCCTATAACTTGAAGCGAGTTTTGACAATCCTTGGTGCTAACGGCTTGATGAGGGCGTTGTCGGCCTGAAAAGGTCGGGTTTTGGCCCCTCCAATAAGCTGTGAATCCCTGCTGGTGGGCTCCAGGCCTACACTGATCGACCATGGAGCTTCAGGTGCATTTCCGTCACCGAACAGACGTCGGCGCTCCGCGCCGACGATGCCAGATAGCGTTTTTACACACTCAGGGCCAAGAGCTGCCAGTTGTGACAGTCCGCTTTGGGGCCAGGCTGTGTGAAAACGCCTGTGTTTGTCTAACCTTTTGATCGTCTAGATTGTATTGGGGCGATCATGAAGCGATTCATTGAAGGTGAGGCTCGGACGCAAGTCACGCGTTGCTGCCTGAGTGCTTGGACAATTACGTAGCCGAAGAAAATCCACTGCGAGTGGTCGACGTTTTCGTCGATGAACTCGACCTGGGCGCACTTGGATTTGAAGGTGTTGATCCTGCCGCAACGGGGCGTCCGACCTACCATCCAGCGATCTTGCTGAAGATCTATGTCTACGGCTACCTGAATCGGATTCAGTCCAGCCGCCGGCTGGAACGGGAGGCCGAGCGCAATGTTGAGTTGATGTGGCTCACGGGGCGTTTGGCTCCGGACTTCAAAACCTTTTCCGACTTTCGCAAAGACAACGGCAAAGCCATTCGCAGCATCTGCCGCCAGTTCGTAGTGCTTTGCCGCACCTCGATCTCTTTTCCCAATCAATCATCGCCATTGATGGCAGCAAATTCAAAGCCGTCAATAATCGCGACCGTAACTTCACCCAGGGAAAAGTGAATGCACGCATGCAGCAGATCTAGCAGAGCATTGACCGTTATTTGGCGGCGATTGATTCGGCGGATCGGGCAACATCCGAAGTAGCCGAGGCCAAGGCCGAGCGGTTGAAAGAAAAGATAGAAACGCTGAAAAAGCAGATGCAGAAACTCAAGGACATTGAGGCGCACTTCACGACAGTCCAGACCAGCAAATCTCTCTTACCGAACCAGATGCACGTTCAATGGCCACGAGCGGCCGAGGTACCGGAACGGTTGGCTATAACGTACAAACAGCCGTCGACGACAAGCACCATCTGATCATTGCCCATGAGGTGACCAACGTTGGCAATGACCGGACGCGACTCAGCAATATGGCGAATCAGGCGAGTGAAGAGATCGGCGATGAGTCGCTGACGGTGGTGGCCGACCGAGGCTATTACAAGGGGCTGGAAATCCTTGCCTGCGAGCAGGCGAGTATCACCACCTTCGTACCGAAACCCCTGACCTCAGGCAGCAAAGCCGAAGGCCGATTTGGTAAGCAGGACTTTATCTACATTGCTGCATCGGACGAGTATCGATGCCCTGCGGGGCAGTTACTAACCAGGCGGCATTCGTCGATGGAAGACGGCATGTTATTGCATTGTTACTACTTCTCTGGCTGCCAGTTCTGCTTAATGCAAAATCAATGTACGACGGGTAAGGTAAGGAACGCCGGATAAAGCGCTGGGAACATGAAACCATAGTCGATGCGATGCGATGCAGGCTCGGCTGGATCATGACCCAACGATGATGAGGCGTCGCCGACAGACTGTTGAACATCCTTTTGGATCGCTCAAATACTAGATGGGAAGTACCCACTTCGTGACCAAAACCCTTCCGAGGGTAAGCACCGAGATGAGCCTTCATGTGCTCGCCTACAACCTCAAACGGATGATGAGCATCTTCGGCGTCGCAGGACTGCTTGAAGCGATCAGGGCGTGAATCCAGCCGTTTGATCGTCCGTGAGTGGCCCTCGTGAGTACTTTTCAGTCCGCGTGACAGACTTTTTTCGCATAGGAACTGAGAGAGTATTGCCTTTTGGTATCAACGACAGATTTTCCATAGAATTGTTAGTAGGGCGAACCCAGGAAAATCAATGCCTCCAGCGGGTAGGTCACGAAAGGCTTTGTTTGCTTCAAGTGTTTGTATACTGCAAGAATCGGTTAGACCCCATCCGCCTCACCTAATCAGCGTAAACAGCAAACCGATTCTCAGGGCTGCGCGATGCGCGGAGCCCTATAGTTCATGGCATCAAACGCCCGCGCGGGCTAACACCTCGGTCAGCACATGGCCCCACTGGGCACCATGCATGTCGCGGTCGTGTAACGCGCCTTGGGTGATGGGGCGCGGCAGTGTAATTTTCACCACATTCAACGCCTGCACGCGGAACACCTTCACCTGGTGCGGGTCGCCGTGCAGCATGCGGGCTACCGCTTCTTCGGCTAGTAAAGGCTCGGCGCTCAGTTGCTTAAAAACCTCGGTGTTGGCGCAGAAAATGTCGAAAGTGAGCCAGAAAGGCCCGGCGTTTTTAGAACGAATTTCATAACTATGGGAAACACTCATACTTGGGCTCCTGTACTCTCATTTTCTAATGGGGTGTTATTTACCGTCGTGAAGTCGAATCGGAACGGTGCCAATGGGTCGGCCACCACTATGACGTGGTTAAGCACGAACTCGTATGCCATGCCCCGATCCATGGACGCTGGTGACAGTGGGAAGGCATGGGTCGGCAGGTCTTTGTCATCCTGAAGGGGTAAATGCAGCATGTAGGGATTGAGCAAGGCGATGATGTCTTGGGTGCGCGAAGCCTCTGGCGTGGTGACAATTGCCAATACCCCGATTTCCACTGGTTGGCCTAACTGGTTTTCGAGGTCGCCAAGTGCAGAATTCTTGCCAATTGCGCGGAACTGCAGGTCATAATCTGAGGGGACAATGCTCAGGATTTTCTCAATGCGCTTACGCATGATGTCGTCCATATACGCCAGCCATTCATCAAACCGGGTGATGTATTTGGACCCGCGCACCACGCTCAGCACTACTGACTGATAACCCGTTGCTGCTGCACCCTCGAGCTTCACCGTATAGTGTTCGCTCGGTACCCAGACCGAGCCTTCGACCCGTACGCTGTTTTCACTGATAGCGGTATAGGTCGCAGCCTCGACGTTGAGTACGCCACCCGGCTCAACTAGCATATGAGGGTTGCTGTTTTCGTAAAGCATGTGCGCCATTACTGACCGCGGTGTAGCTCGAGCATTTTCACCAATCGCAGTCAGGGTGAAGCCCTGCTGGTCGATTTCTGCCATTACCATTGCTTCAGTGGGAGTAGTTGTGCACAGCGCGCCGCACTCAAGAATTTTCCCCGCATGCCAAGCGGCTCCCCAGGGCGCACCACGAAAAATCGGCAGGCAGGCGAGTACGGCGGTGTCAGTAGCACGGCCCGCCAGCACTATGTCGGCGCCCTGTTCCAGCGCATGGAGAAAGGGCTCAACGCCCATGGCGGCAACAATGTGGGAGCAACGCTCAATTAGCGCTGGATCGATGGAGCGCACCGGGTTCAAGGGCACTACTCGGCCATCTTCCAATGCCTGAATAACAGTGGCAGCGCTTTGTTCGCTGTAAATAGCGGCGATCTTCACTTTCTGTTGCAACTCTGCGGCTACTTCTAGGCACAGGTTACGCATCAGGTCGACACCGGCGTTGGAGCCACACGTGCCACAGCTGCCGATAATCAGCGGAACACCCAGATCAGCGCGTGCCTTCATCAACGCTAGCAACTCCGCCTTTAGCACTGCGTTGGTCGACTTGGTTTTACCCGTACCTAGGTAATAAGGTCCAGAGTCAGTCGATCCGGCGTCCATGGCTATCACATCTGGCCTTTCCAGTAAGGCGCGTTCGAAGATATCAAGCCGCAGCCCCGAGCCGATCACGCCAGTGGGCACGAGCACCTTTACATTGTTGTTCATGGTCATTCCTCCGTTTAAAAATTGTCGCGCTCATCTGCGATAACGCAGGGAGACGGCGATGTGTCGCTTTTCAGCAATGACTTTCTCGTGGCAAGCCGCCGCCTATCCCTTTGACCGCCAGGTCAAGGGCAGGGAGAAGCAGAAAAATTAGGTGGTGCTAGATAATGGCGCCCGTTGCTAACGCGGCGAGAATCAACACAAAAGAGCTGCCAAACGCCCAAATCAGGCAGTACCGCTGCAGGTCACCTACATCGCGTTGTAGTAAACCGCTCAACAGGTACGCCGGAGCCAGTAGCGGGCTCAGACCATGTACCGGCTGACCAAGCAGCGAGGCGCGGGCAATGTGCAATGGGTCGACCCCGTATTGCGCCCCCGCACCACTAAGAATGGGTAGGATGCCGAAGAAGAACGCGTCATTGGACATGAAGAAGGTGAAGGGAATGGCTGCCACTGCAGCTATCACACTCATGTATGGGCCAGCCGAATCAGGAACTATATTAAGGAATGCCTGAGACATGGCAGCCACCATTCCCGTCCCGCTCAGAACTCCGGTAAAAGCGCCTCCGGCGAAAATCAGCGCGATCACGGTAAGCACACTTTCCGAATGAGCGGCGATGCGCTCTTTCTGGTCGACCAGACGGGGGTAGTTGATCACCAGCGCCACGGCCAACCCCCCATCATTAGCACCGGCAGGGGAGCAAGCCTCAATCCCATCGACATCACCAAACCGAGAGTCAGGGCTAAGTTCACCCAGATCAGCTTGGGTCGATGACTGTGTTTATCGATGTGCTGTATTTCCACAGTCGCTGCAGTCGCTCGCCCAGCTACCCAACCCAAGCGTTTGCGTTCACGCATGCCTAGCCACCAAGCTGCCGCAAAGGCATAAGCCAGCCCGATCACAAGAGTTGGCAGCAACCCGGTGAATACCGTCATTGCGTCCAGGTGCAAGGCGCTGGCGGCACGTGCGGTTGGCCCACCCCAAGGCACCACGTTGAGGATGGTATTGGTCAGCAGCAACATCACTGCGAGAATCAGGGGGTTCATACCTAAGCGCAGGTAGACTGGCAGAAATGCGCTGATCACCACCAGCACAGTGGTGGAGCCGTCGCCATCGAGGGAGATGATCGTCGACAGCGCAGCGGTACCAATAGTGATGCGCAGCGGGTCATCTCCTACCGAACGCATAATCCGCCGAATCGCCGGCTCAAACAGGCCGGCGTCATACATCACGGCAAAAAACAGAATGGCGAACATCAGCATTATTGCCGTAGGTGCCACCTTGAGGATACCGCCCATCACCATCTCGCCTGTCTGTGGGCCACTACCGATGGCTAGACTAAACACCACAGGCACCACAATAAGCGCGACGATGGCGGACAACCTTTTGCTGAGGATCAGCAGCATAAACACCAGCACCATGCCGAAACCAACCCAAGCCATTTTCTTATCCTTATTCTTATGAAAACCGTTGGTGGATTGCTGGTTTAAGGCCTCGCAAAAGCGGGAGTCAACCATCAGTACACATGTATAACGCCGAGAAAATATATATATATGAGTTTTGTGTAAATCTGTATTTTTATCGTACACCTGAATATAATCACCAAAAAACACACAAATTTTCATAGCTATACCGCGCCGCATCCAGGACAAATCCTTCCTGTATAAAGATCCAGGTACCGGCGCTTATGAGCGGTGTTGCTGACCGTCGAGGCGCAATGAGTAAAGGCTTAAATAACCTCCATGGGGCAATCGTAAGCTCCAGTGCAAGGATAGAAGCCTCATTGCAAGCATTTACAGAAATCTAACCAGTCGACTACCATCCGTAAATCTGTACGAACTCCGTCTATATAAGAGTCGCCATGCTTAACGAAGATGAGCTGTACCTGTCCGCTGAGGAAGCCGCCAACTTGTTGGGCATCAATGTGGCGACCCTATATGCCTACGTAGGCCGCAAAAACATTCGCTCGATCAAAATTGAGGGGTCCCGTAAGCGACGCTATTGGGCGGCGGACATTCAACGCCTTACCAAGGATGGGAAAGCTCCCGAGCGTACGCCAAGCAAGCGCGGCAATGCCGACTCCTACAGCTCCCTGACCCTGTTAACGGAGAGCGGCCTGTACTACCGCGGTCGGGATGTCACTGAGCTGGTAGAGGAAGCCACGGTGGAGGAAGTGGCGGAAATGTTCTGGCAGGTGCCCGGCGCTTTTGGCACGGTTCTACCTCATATGCCAGAGGGCGCGGCGACTTTGCTGGAGTTGTTTAGCCACACCTCCGCGGTGGAAAAAGCCATCGCCCTGTTTCCGCTGGTGGAGCGGGAAAATCCAAAGGCCTTCGACCTGACTCCAGAGGGTTATGCACGTACCGGCGCCGATGTGGTCCGTTGGTTTGCCGCGCTGGTGGTGGGAGCAAACGTGCCGGATATCCGACCTCTGCATGAATACATTGCAACTTCCTGCGGGATGAACCAGCATTTCGCCGACTTGATCCGTCGCGTGCTAATTCTGTGCATCGACCATGAACTTGTCCATTCCACCTACAGCGTGCGCGCGGCGGCCAATACCGGGGTGACTCCTTATTATGCAGCGATTGTGGGCTTGGCGGCCGCTCGTGGACGACGCATTGCCTATGGCCGCAGTGAGGCGGTAAGCCGCTTGCTGGATGAGGTATGCAACGCCAAAGATCCGGCCCAGCCAATTCTTCAATATTACAGCCAGGGCGATGATATTCCGGGGTTTTGTGCCTATACGTATAGCATCGCCGACCCACGTGCGATCAGCCTGAAAAACACCCTAGACATTATGTTTGCCGACGACCCCGATTACCTTCGTTTGCTCAAGGCGATGAATGTGGCTGAAGAGTTAGTGCAGCGACCGGCGGAGTTTGTACTGTTGGTGAGTTTTGTTGGCCGTAAGTTAAACCTCGTCGGCCAAGAGTTAGCGCTGTTGGGGGTAGCACGGCTGATTGGCTGGATTGCTCATGCCAGCGAGCAATACAACCAGCAATTGATGGTTCGCCATCGCGCCCGCTATACCGGTGCCCTCCCCGGATAATCATCTACGGGCGATCTCTGCCGCCGCCCGCTTCTCCTTTCCCAGTTCTCTCCTAAAACTTGCCGCGGCAGCTAACGGCTGGTGCGTCGACGCGCACCAATCATGTACAAATTCCGTACAGATTTACATCGCTCACAAGCATGTATAACGTACCTTCGTGCTCATCGAATACATGTGTACAAATAAGTGCATGTATCTTTGAGTCCCAAGCTTAAGGTGCCGGAAATGCAGCACTAGCCCATTTCCGTATCCAATAATAAGAAAGGTGAAGATACGTGAAACTAATCATCAAGCGGCCCGGCATGCCCGGCGCAGTCATCTTGGCAGTGTCAATGGCGGGGTATATGGCCGGTGCCCAAGCGGTCAACTTCGAAGTAGGCGAAATCGAGGGGCGACTTGACTCCGCACTTTCCATTGGCACCAGTTTGGCCATGCGTTCCCCAGACCCGGACTTTATTGGCGTGAGAAACGGGGGGCGAGGTGAGTCGCAAACCACCGACGATGGGCGATTGAACTTCAAAAAGCATGAGACCTTCTCGAAAATTTTCAAAGGCAGCCACGACCTAGAATTGAAATACGGCGAATCGGGCGTATTTATGCGAGGCAAGTACTGGTACGACTTCGAACTCAAAGACGAACACCAAAATCTTTACGACATTCAGGACAACGGCCGTAAACGCGGCGCGCAATCCTCTGGTGTCGATCTGCTCGATGCGTTTTTCTATCACAACTATGAGCTGGCTGACCTTCCCGGCTCATTCCGCGTCGGCAAGCAAGTCGTCAGTTGGGGAGGCAGCACATTTATCGGTGGTGGCATCAACATCATTAACCCACTGGATGCCAACGCGCTGCGTCGCCCAGGTTCGGAGCTCAAGGAAGGCTTACTGCCGGTAAACATGCTGTACATGCAGCAAACCCTCACAGACACCGTGAGCATGGAGGGTTTCTACCAGCTGGAGTGGGACCAGTCGGTGGCGGATAACTGCGGTACCTTCTTCGCCGGTTCTGATCTTGCTGCCGATGGCTGCGAGGACCGCTACGTGCTGCGGGGCGCCGACCAAGCACCTGGAGAGTCGGATAACTCCGGTATCAATGGCAACACCATCTATCTACCCCGTGGTGGCGATCGGGATGCCCGCGATAGCGGTCAGTTTGGTCTGGCGCTGCGCTGGTTGATACCTGAGTTGAATGACACAGAGTTCAGCGCTTATTACTTGAACTATCACAGCCGCACCCCTGTGAGCAGCTCGACCATGGTAACTGCCAATCCCTTTACTAGCGTGGCGTTTGGCGCGCGTACGGGCAACTACTTCCTCGAATACCCGGAAGACATTCGCCTTTACGGTATGAGTTTTAATACCAATATAGGCAGCGCCTCTGTGGAAGGTGAGCTGAGCTATCGACCGAACATGCCCTTGGCGTATGACGACCTGATCTACGCCACCCTGCGTCTTGATCCTGTAGTGCCGAGCGTGATTCCCAACTCAGGAATTCCCGGCGACACCACTCATGGCTATAAGCGCATACCCATGACCCAGGCGCAGATCAGTATCACCCAGACCTTCGACCAGATTCTCGGTGCGAGCCGCCTGACTGTGATCGGTGAAACCGGCTTCAACCACCTTTCCGGTATTTCCGAAGGTAAGGCAAGCCAGCCACGGTATGGCCGCTCCAGCCCTTACGGTACCGGAGAGTACTACGGTAACAATGGCGAAGACCTGTGCCGTACTTTGCTTAGCGCTCGCCCCGAGTACTGCAACAGCCATGGCTTTTTCACACGCAACTCATGGGGTTATCGTCTGCGAGGGAGCTTGGCATACAACGGTGTGATCGGTGGTCTGGACCTTTCGCCCAACTTGGCGTTCAACCACGATGTTGACGGCTACGGGCCGAACTTCAACGAAGGCAGCAAGGCCATCAGCATTGGCGTAAACGCCAAGTACCTAAGTAACTACGAAGCCAGCTTAAGTTACACCGACTACTTCGGCGGCGACTACAACACGCTCGTCGACAGAGATTTTTTGAGCGCCAGCATTGGCGTCACGTTCTGAGGGATTTCCCATGCCTACAAAAACAACAATGCTTTGTGCTGTACTGGCCATTCTGCCATTGGCAATATCGCCTAGCTTTGCTGCAGTGGATGCCAGCCAAGTGGCCCAGTTAGGGCAGCGCCTGACCCCGCTCGGCGCCGAGCAATCCGGCAATACCGCAGGTACTATCCCGGCTTGGACCGGAGGTTTGCCGAAGAATGCCGGGAAGGTAGTCGATGGTTTCCGAGAAGATCCGTTTGCCAAGGAACAGCCTCTGTTCACCATCACCGCAAAGAATGTCGATCAATACCGCAATCAGCTCAGCCCTGGCCAGCAAGCGATGTTCGCACGCTATCCAGACACCTACAAAATGCCGGTGTACCCAAGTCATCGCAGCGTGGCGTGGCCGCAGTCGACTTATGAAGCGATCCGTAAAAATGCCACCAGTACTCAACTAATAGAGGGTGGCAACGGCTTGATCGATTACCACAGTCCGCTGGCATTTGCTTTTCCGCAAAACGGTCTGGAGGTGATCTGGAATCACATCACCCGTTACCGTGGTGGCAGTTTTCAACGTGAAACCACGGCGTTTGTGACTACGCCAAACGGTAACTACTCTTGGAAAACTGAGCGCGACCGTTTAGCCTACAACGAACAATTACTCGACTACGACCCGAGCGAGTCGAGCAATATCCTTTACTACTTTACTTCGGAGAACATCGCGCCGGCGCGCGACGTAGGCACCGTGCTACTAGTGCACGAAACACTTGATCAGTTAAAAGAGCCCCGCATGGCCTGGCAGTACAACGCTGGCCAACGACGCGTGCGGCGTGCGCCTCAGGTAGCCTACGATAGCCCGGGCCCTGGCAACCTGCGCACCACCGACCAGACCGACATGTTTAATGGCTCGCCGAACCGCTACGACTGGCAGTTGGTCGGTAAGAAGGAGCTGTATATCCCATACAATAGCTTCCGTCTAGCGGACCCGACCAATAGCTATGACAACCTTATTACCCCCGGTCACATTAACCAAGACAAAACCCGCTACGAGTTGCATCGTGTCTGGGAAGTGATCGCCACCTTGAAATCTGGCGAGCGCCATGTGTATTCCAAGCGCCATCTGTTTATTGATGAAGACAGTTGGACCATCGTCGAAGCCGACCATTACGACAACCGCGGCACTCTCTGGCGAGTTTCGGAAAATCACGTTCTGCCGCTATACGACGTACAAGCCCAAGTATCGGCCGGTGAGCTTACATACGACCTGCAATCCGGGCGCTACGTGGCAAACTACATGTTTAACCAGATTAAAAATGCCTACGAGTTTGGCCTGAAGGCCAAATCATCCGATTTCACCCCGGCCGCCTTGCGCGCCATTGGCATCCGTTGACCCGGCTATTCGCCGAGACAGGTGTTTCCTGATTCACTGTTTATGATCTATTGCTGTTGTTCATCGACCTTTGCCGCCCTTATTGGGCGGTTTTTTTTAACGGCGATTTAATAGGTAAATCGTTTCAATCAAAATTCTCCGCTGGAATACATGAGGTGCATCAGACCGTCTGGTGAATTTTTTGCACTATGGCCTACAGGGGAAACCTACAGAATTCGGAAAAAATGGTACGCTAAGGGTTTCCGATCAGATCTGGCACGACTCCATCGAGGCCAGCGCCCACTCGGCGCATCTGCCCCTTTCCGCCGAACCGGTCTGCTGGATGCAGATAGGGCATGCATCCGGTTTGACCAGCGCCGTCTTCGGCCGCACGGTGCTGTTTCGTGAGATTGAGTGTCGCGGTATGGGGCATGCACAGTGCCGTATCATCGGTAAGCCTATTGAGGAATGGGGGCCTGATGCTGACCAGCTGGAGCTGTTCGGTTCCACCGATTACATCAACGCCTCGCTCAATGATCCGATACTCGATAACGCCCTGGCTGTCTCCGATCTCATTGGGGCCGACCCTAGTTTCCTCGCTACCTGCAGACGGATCGAAAAGATCGCGCCTCGCAATGTCACCGTACTTTTCCAAGGAGAGACAGGCGTCGGCAAAGCGCTTTGCCCGACTGCTGCATCAACTCAGCCACCGTGCAGGCAAACTGTTCGTGGCCGTCAACTGCGCCGCGCTACCAGAAACGCTGATCGAGTCGGAGCTTTTCGGGGTGGAAAAGGGCGCCTTTACCGGCGCCACGCGTACCAGGCCCGGGCGTTTCGATCAGGCTAATGGCGGCACATTGTTCCTCGACGAAATCGGTACCCTGACCTCAGTGGCGCAGGAAGTGCTCCTTCGCGTGCTGCAGGAACGTGAAGTGGATCGGTTAGTTGGTGATTCCCCCTATCCAGTCGATATTCGGGTCATTGCCGCAACCAATGCGGATTTGGAAGAGGACGTCCGGCAGGGCCGCTTCCGTAAAGATCTGTTCTATCGCATCAACGTAGTGCCCATTCACATTCCGGCTCTGCGCGAGCGGCGAAACGACATCCCATTGCTCATCCGTTATTTCATCAAGCGCTTCTCCCTCTTGCACCAACGCTCGATCAAGGGATTTTCGCGGGCAGCTGCCGACACAGCGGGCCAACGAGATCGAGCGACTGCTGCCCCATCAGTGGACGCCTGCCCGACCAGACAAGTGACTCCGGCGGAAGCTTGGGCGGTGTTGGTAGGGATTGCCGAACATTTTGAGCCTACCTCTGCGCCGCTCATGGAACAGGAGCAGGCACCCATGTGCCCCAGCGGGTAGACGAGCCCAGAGCTTGCAGCACCAAGACTGTTTATCAGAAACAGCACATCCCTCCTTGACATAGTACGCTACCGAACCATAATAGTCCGGTAGCGCACTATAATGGAGTCTACTTGAATTTCTCCCAACAGAATTCGGCCGGTGCCTGGGCAAAGAAATATCACCAGGCTGCGCGTTCGGTAATCGAAGCTATGTTGAAGCCGTACGATCTCGGTTCAACGCAATGGTACGTATTGTGGCAGTTGATCAATGCCGGGCCGACGCCTCAGCGGGATTTTTTGGCGTATCTAAATATTGAAAAGACGACGCTCAGTGGCGTTACCTCCGCATTGGTACGCAAAGGACTCGTGGAGCAGGCAACCGACAGTAAAGACCAGCGCCAGAAGATTTTATCCATCACTCCGGCGGGACAAGCCTTATGGCAAGTATTGCCTGATCCGATTGATCTCATCCTGAAAACCGCTTTCGAAGGAATTCCCAGCGATGACCTTGCGGTCGTTGTTCGAGTTCTTAGCACTGGCACAGAGCGCCTTAATGGCCTTATCAACAAAGGAGTTGAAAGATGAAAGTTCTCGTCACTGGCAGCACAGGCCTCGTTGGCACTCGCCTATTACCCCGCCTTTCAGAATCAGGTTTCGAATGTCGTGTGTTGATTCGCCCAGGAAAGACAGCTCCAGATGGGGTCACCGTCTTCGAAGGAGATGTGCTAGATCAGAAATCACTGATCAAAGCTGTAGAGGGCGTTGACGCTATAGTACATCTAGCGGCGGTTCTACGGACACCTGATGCTTCCCAGATATGGAACGTCAACCTTGAGGGCACACGGAATCTGATCGCGGTTACGAAGCAGTTTGCGCCGAATGCTCGATTTATAATGGCAAGTACCGGCCTTGTTTATGCGGACAATAATCACCGCCCTTCCGGGGAAAGTGATAGCGTTAGCTCTGCGCGTGATTATCCAGCTAGTAAAATCGCTGCTGAAATCTTGCTCCGTGAAAGTGGGCTAACCTGGTCCATTCTGCGCTTCGGATTCGTCTACGGAGATAATGACGGCCATGTTGCGCAAATTCCGCACATCGCAAAGTTAATGGACTTGCACCCATCAAACCGCTTGAGCATGATCCACCACCGTGACATAGCTAATGTTGTGCATATGGGACTGAGTGGACGCTTGGATGAGGCCACAATCAATGTGGTAGACGAGTCGCCTATGAGCGTTCTAGAACTAAGCAACATAGCCGGCTCCGCGATGGATACCGTTGATTCGCCGCTCGTGAAACCTTGGTTTGGAGTCATGGACGGTTCATTGGCCAGAAGCCTCGGCTTCAAGCCGGAGGTTTCTACGACCTGGCAAGCGGTTAGGGAGAACGCCATCTGACGCGCTTGTACAAGGACGGCCTACTGGTAATAACGGTTTGTCGCCATAGCGATGCAGAACGCGCGCTAGCCCAGTCGCTTTCAGCAAGAGGCGATGTCATGACTCAACGCGATGTCCGCGACTGACCGAGTTCTTGGCATTTTTGGACGACCTGAGACTTAAAGAATTTCGGTTAAGACTTACGTTGGCATAAGACTATCCTGATATTGAGGGTAATTGCATCCGCCTAAATACGCGGACACCATCGCCATTACTGCTGGGAGTTTGAAGGCGTGTTCCCCATCCGCTTACTCTATAACGGCGAAATAATCGCCTTCAAGACCGCGAGGCGCCCGCTGTTCGACATGGTTGGTTCGATGCTGCGGCAGGCTTTTGAGAGGCTGCGGCCACGCGATAAACCAATCTTGCATTCCGACCAGGGATGGCAGTACCGGATGCCTATCTACCGCCGCGTGTTGAACGAGCGTGCGGTAAAGCCAAGCATGTCCCGCAAAGGAAACTGTTATGACAATGCGGCTATGGAAAGCTTTTTTGGCACGTTGAAATCAGAGTTCTTTTTCCTGAACAAATTCAACAGTCTCGATGAGCTTGAAGCAGGTATAGAGGACTACATACACTACTACAATCATTCGCGAATCAGGCTGAAACTAAGCGGCCTGAGCCCTGTGGAATACCGGACTCAAGCACGGCGGGCATAGAAGGTGTCCAACTTCGGGGTCAGATCATTTTAAGCGGACGCGATCACCCTTATCGCCAGGATTTCCATGCGCCAACGAAGCTCCTATCCCAAACCCTTCAAGGCCCACGTCGTGCAGGAATGCCTGAAACCCGGTGCATCAGTTTCCAGCGTCGCCATCAGCCACGGCATCAATGCCAACGTGATTCGCAAGTGGCTGCCGATTTACCGTGATAAACCCGTCGCGCCACTTCCCGCGGTTGTACCGCTGCAACCGATGCCTAAACGGCACGCAGATGAAGCCGTGGTTGTTGGCGCTGATTGAAAACTGACCCACCCTGCCGATTGAAAATTGACCCAGAGCGGATTGCTGATTTCTGTCCCAGCAATTGTGGATAAGCTTAGCAGCAGTGTTCCGATTAAAGACGCATCAAGCCCCACCGCATGCAGCAGGGCATTTATGGTGCGGATCAAAATGGCTCATCGTCCTCGAATCATTACCGTCCTTTCGCTTTCGTTCGCGTGTTTTGATCTTTGTCTGGGCGGCTAAGGTGCTGTGTTGCAGGCGGTAAGACTCGTTGCCTGTTTCAACGATATGGCAGTGGTGTGTCAGCCGATCTAGCAGCGCCGTAGTCATTTTGGCGTCGCCAAACACACTCGACCATTCCGAGAAGCTGAGTTTGGTGGTGATGACCACGCTGGTGTGTTCGTACAGTTTGGACAGCAGGTGAAATAACAAGGCATCGCCGCTTTGGCTGAAGGGCAAATATCCCAGCTCACCTAGTATCATCAGTCTGTGCGAAGCAATCCCAGGGCGATTCGGCCTGCCTTGCCGTCGTATTTTTCACGCTCCAGCAGATTCACCAGATCCACCGTGAAAAAGAAGCGCACGCGTTTGTTGTGGGCCGTGATTCCGGATACAGCCAAGGCACTGGTCAGGTGTGTTTTCCCGGTTCCAGGGCCGCCGACGAACACGACATTCTGCGCGGTTTAGCCTTAGCTGGTAGGTGGCCTTGTCCTCCGGCAACACCAGATAGCGAGCATGGCCCGACCGGGGGTGCTTGAACGCCCCAACTGGCTGGGCGCAGGAGCGTTTAACTCCTAATTCAACATATTCGGATACCCACTACAGTTCGACCATTGCTCGTTCGTGGCATGAGAGTCTGGCTGCTTGCTAGCAAGATCAAGTTTGCGCATTACACTAGGGACCTTGAATCGGCTCAGTTGCTCACTATCTTTACGCACTATAGATAGGATGCTGCGGCTGCCCGCAGCACTAGGATTTTGCGTGAACAGTTTATTGAACTGTAGTGGTCAATTATCGCGACGAAAGCCGACTTATCATCTGTAGTGGTCAACTCATCCCGGACACGGTTTTGAGTTTTTCTTCCGTTTTCGCTGGGGCCAATCCATCGTTAAATTGATGAGGTCGGATCCAGTTGTAGTGATGCATCAGGTACTGGCTAATGTCTCTCTGAGCCTGGTGGCCGGTCATGTAGCCAGTGGTTGGTATCCACTCTGTTTTCAAGCTGCGAAAAACCCGCTCCATCGGCGCATTATCCCAGCAGTTTCCTCGGCGGCTCATACTCTGACGCATGCGATAACGCCACAGCCGCTGGCGAAAGTTGCGGCTCCCATATTGCGATCCCTGGTCTGAGTGAAATAGCAGGCCTTGCGGCTTGCCACGCTGCTCGTAAGCCACGTCCAACGCCTTGATCACCAAGTCTGCATCCGGCTTTTCTGATAACGCCCAGCCCACCACTCGGCGAGCGTAAAGATCCATGACAACCGCAAGGTAGTGCCATTTCTCCTGTGCCCAGATGTAGGTGATGTCGCCGCACCAGACCTGGTTGGGCGCTTCGACAACAAATTCGCGGTTCAATATATTTGGGATATCCGGCCGCTCGACTGTCGCCTTTTTATAGGCGTGTGATCCTGGCTGCTTGCTGACCAACTCCAGCTCACGCATCAGCCTGCGTACCTTAAACCGTCCAATTTGCTCACCTTCTTCTTGCATCATCAACGTGATGCTTCGACTGCCGGGAGCACTTCGGCCCTGGGTGAACAACTCGCTCACTCGGCTACGCAGCCTGAGCCGCTCAACATCTGGTGTTCGCCGCCTTAGACGATGCGCGTAGTACCCCGAACGAGCGACCTCAAACGCCTCGCACAAGCAGTCAACAGGCTCATGGACGCTTAGCTGATTGATCAGCGCGTACGCTCGAGATCTTCCGACATCAAGAGCGCGGTAGCCTTTTTAATATTGATTTCTCGCGCTCGAGGCGAGCAATCCGAGCTTCCAACTCCTGGATTTTTGCTGCTCTGGTGTCAGGGCCTTGCTCTGGGGGCGTGACGCCGGTGCGCTCTTGCTGAAGCTGGTCGACCCAGCGGCGCAGCGCCGACTCACCAACACTCAGTGAGCGACTGGCTTCGATGAAGCTGTAGTTTTGCTTGAGCACGAGGTCGGCAGCCTCGCGTTTGAATTCTGCGGAAAAGGTACGGCGTTGTTTGGTCATCTGACACCTCGATCTGGCGAGTATTCTCGCCTAAAAGGGTGTCCGGTTTCATTAGACCACTACATACATCCACGATGAACTTGTGTAATTTAAATCTAATCACGATTGAACTTCAGCTTCCGCACACTAGATCTGGGGTTGTATTTGATCGAGAGCACCTAGAAAAATTAATAGCGCCCTTCCCTAGGGCACTGCATCAAGGCAGCATTTAATTCCAGGTGCCCCCCTCACCAGACAAGAAATTGAAGGGAGAACGTGAGGCTCTTCGTCAAAATCAGGACGACTTTTTCAGTTCCTCCCAGAGGCTGCGCTGGAAGCAGGTCAACAGGTAGACTAGCGTTTTAAGTGTCGGCTGGAGTTTCGCATGGGCACCCAGGGAAAACATGACGAGTGCCGGAAGAAATTCGCTGCGGCTTTCCCAGTTGCGACTGCGTGATTTCCGCTGCTTTGAATCGATCGATATCGACTTCCACCCGCAGTTGACAGTATTGGTTGCGGCCAATGGTACGGGTAAAACGTCCATCCTCGACGCCATCGCCATCGCCTTTGGTCCTTATATAGGGGCATTTGACGAGGCGGTGGGCAAGCATTTCGAGCCAAGTGATATTCGCCAGTTTCGTGCCAGACAAACCGCTACAAACGAAATGGAATACGCCCCTCAAGGGGCTAAGGCTCGAGGCTACGGGATTCGTTCCCGGCAGTCTGCTCGATCGGCTGTCCGATGATCTGCTGCCCACTATTTGGCGCCGTCACCTTTCCAGCGCGACCAAGACCAAGACCTCGATCAAAGACGCCAAGGGAATTGGTTGCCTATGGCAAGCGCATGCAAGAAGCTTCGCGCACGCCCGACACTGAGGTCGTTCTGCCACTGATCGCGTACTACGGCACTGGACGTCTGTGGCAGCAAAAAAAACTGACAGATGCGAAGAACATCCAACGCACCTCAAGAACCGTCGGCTACACCGACTGCCTCGATCCGGCATCCAGCTATAAATCGTTCGTGCAATGGTTTCGCTACTGGAGCCTGAATGCCAAAGAAGCCCAACTCAAGGCGCTTGAAGCAGGGGTCAGCATTGCCAAAACCGAATTCGACACCTACATCCAGTCAGTTAGTCGAGCCGTGAACGTGTGCATTCAACCGGCAGGCTGGAGCGGTATCGAGTACTCCTTCACCCGCGACACGCTGGTTGCCCGACATGAGCAATTAGGCGAACTACCAGTCGAGTGGCTCAGCGACGGTATTCGCAACATGATAGGCATGGTGGCCGATATCGCATTTCGCGCAACCAAACTCAACGGCCACCTTGGTGCGCAAGCGGCGCAAAAGACACCAGGCCTGCTGCTTATCGACGAAGTCGACATGCACCTGCATCCGGAATGGCAACAAGTAGTGCTGCTCAACCTGGCCCAGGCGTTCCCGGCCATGCAGCTTATCGTGACAACCCACAGCCCTCAGGTGTTGAGTACGGTCTCATCGGACAGTGTGCGAATCCTGCGCAGCGAAATCGTTCCCGAGACCACCAGCCGGGTCACCACCGTCAGCGAGCCACAATGGCAAACCCGCGGCGTCGCCAGCTCCGACCTGTTGGCCCGTATCATGGGCGTCGATCCGGTACCTCATGTGCCTGAGGCCATCTGGGTTTCTGATTACCAGGCACTGATTCAACAGAACCTTCATGAGCAGCCTGAGGGACGTATATTGAGAGACAGGCTGGAAGCCCATTTCGGGGCTGAACATCCAGTTGTGCACGAACTTGATCGGCTGGTTCGTTTACAGGGAATCAAGCAGCGGCTGCCCCGCGAACTTGGCAACAGGGAGCGTTGAGGTGCGGCGTCTGAATAGACAAGACGAACCTCCGGCGGGCCTGAGACGTTACCGGCATGGCCGGGATGCCTGGAGTGCTGTAACACCCGAAGAGCGCATGGCTATCTGGCTGTCGCTGGACTTAATGCAAGGGCCTCGATGTGCTTACTGCGATGGGCCAATGGGTGATGGAAATCGTCATATCGAACATTTCCGCCAGCGCGGGAGATACCCCCAAGGTACGTTTGATTGGAGCAATCTGTTTGGCTCCTGCAAGCGTGCCGGAACTTGCGGAATGGCCAAGGACCAGTGTGGAGCTTATTCCCCAGAAACGCTGATCAAGCCTGATATCGAAGATCCTGACGTATTCTTGCTTTTTCACGCCCGGCGGCACCGTGCGGCCACGTGCGGGGCTGAGGGCAAACAACCATCTTCGTGCCACAGAAACCATCCGCATTCTTGTGTTGGACGGTGCCTTAAATCAGATTCGTCGCGCGCAGCTCTGCGGCTATATTCAGACCATGGAGATTTTTGCAGACTACGCCGAAGCTTATCCCGACGATGATAGTTGGGTTGAGGAGTTGGAGCGGGAGGTTCGCGACACCGCGCATTTGCCGTACGCGACGGCGATCAGGCATGTGCTGACTCGTCAGAGCGAGTGATTGTTCAAGCCCCGCTAAGGCCAGCAAAAATAGTTAGATCCATATCGATTCAGCAGTGTGGGTGAAAGAGTGGGTCCAAACAGAGATCATAAATTAGATTCATATAAATCAATAAGATATAAATCATAGAAGCCGGCCACAAGCCGGCTTTTTTAATTTCTACAGCCCTTTATTTACCGGGTTCCCGCCTTGACCACCAACCCCAGCCCATACTTTGGCCCATACGTTGGCGGAAATATTCATTGCTTTGCTACCAGCAACGACCAGTTGAGCTGAATCATCATCACAAGTCTTTCTGCAACTGCTCTGGTGGCGTGGAGCGGAATACATAGGAGTGCTCAGGCTTCGTCCTGTGACTGCCCCAGCAGCTTCAGGAACTCGATGGCGAGCCTGCGATTTTGGGATTGAGAGCCTGGAAGTTCCGACGTACCAGGATTACCTCGTTGCTCTGATCAGATGCAGCCTCATCGCCACCTTCCAACTCGGATTCCGCGACAGCGTACAGGTCAGACGTTTTCGTGCCCAGTGCGTGACTGAGCTTGTGCAGCAGGTCCAGGGAAGGCAACTGCTGCGATCTTTCGATCTTTGACAGGTTGCCCGCGTAAGTCCCCCGCCTCCAGAGCAACCGCCTCTAAAGTGAGTCCCTTTTCCAGTCGAACCTTGCGTATAGCTGCGCCGATATTCATCAGGCGATTCTGTGGATGGTTTTCCAGCAGGGCAAAGTCACAGTGGAAAACTTTTCGCATATAAATTTGTTCTGTGAGAACATTTGATAAGCGGCGGATTGCTTCAGGAGCAAGTTCGTCAACCGATATGGCCACAAAGGACGGAAGGCGAATGAGCGCTCAGTATGAACATGGTCAGAAAACAGAATCTGAACGGCGAGACGCTCGCGATTTTGGGATCAGCCGTTCGCGCCTTGGCTGGCTCAACGTTAGGTTCGACGGTGGTCCCTCCTACCCAGAAATGGTTGAGTCGCTTAAAGAGATGGTTGACCGGCACGGGAACTTGGTTAAGCGCGGGGACAGAATCTCAGGAGCTGAGTGGCTTCGACGTATCGACCAAAGCAATGTGCGGATCACCGAACGCCAAAGACAAGCGATCCAAACGCTTATGCAGAGCAACTGAGAGGGCAGTTTCTGCTCTTTTTTAAGAGGAATTTCCTGTCATTACGATTAGGTCTGATGGCGATAAACGGCTGATCGACCTGATCCCCTCGCCCATCAAACTCACCATAGACAGGAGCGGACATCAGCACAGCACCGCGCTCAATCAGTGCGCTGTGGTTGCCTTTCGCGAGTGGCAGATACCGGCTGTGGATTCAACCGGTGGACGCAACGGTCTAAAGGTAACCCAGTAAGAGGAGTGTTTCTTATGAAGCAGCGGCCTCGGATCTACTACACCGACACGCAGAAGGCCCTGATGTGGGACCGTTGGCGTGCGGAGACTCCCCCAAACCATTGCCCGGCTGTTCGATCGCAATCACTCTTCGATCCAGCAGATTTTGGCGGAAACTGGCGGGATTCGACCTGCTCAGCGACGTCGTTCCCGCTTGGCACTCAGCAACTCGGAGCGTGAAGAAATATCGCGGTCGTTGGTTGATGGTCGTTCCATTCGAAGTATTGCGGGCACGCTTGGACGGGCACCATCTACCATTAGCCGTGAGATCAAGCGAAATGGCGATTTAAAGTCCTACAGGGCCAATATTGCGGATCAGGCTGCGTGGGATCGTGCTCGTCGCCCGAAGCTGTGCAAGCTAGCGATGAACCCGGTCATTGCGCAAATCGTCGCCAGCAAGCTGAGATTGCAGTGGTCTCCTGAACAAATAGCGGGTTGGCTGAAGCGCGAATATCCGGACGACATGAGCAATCACGTGTCACACGAAACGATCTATCGAACTCTCTATATTCAGGCCCGCGGGGCTCTCAAGAAGGAGCTTTTGGCGCACCTGAGGCGTTCCCGAGCTATGCGTAGATCGAGGCATCACACGCAAAAAACGAATAATCACGGCAAGATAATCGACAACGTTTCAATCAGTGAGCGTCCCGCGTCGATCGCAGACCGGGCAGTCCCTGGGCATTGGGAAGGTGATCTGCTGTTCGGTAGCAAGAACAGCCAGATCGCAACGCTAGTCGAACGGCAAACGCGCTACGTTATGCTGGTTAAAGTCGCCAGCAAAGACACGGTCTCAGTCGTAGGCGCGCTGATCGAAAATGCCCGTCTGCTCCCTCACGAACTCTATAAAACATTGACTTGGGACAGAGGGAAAGAGATGGCGGCACATGCTCGGTTTACGCTGGCCACAGATATCCAGGTGTACTTCTGCGACCCTCAAAACCCTTGGCAACGAGGGACCAATGAAAATACCAATGGCCTCCTGAGACAGTATTTTCCGAAAGGTATCGACATCTCAATCTACTCGCAGGAGCAGCTCAACGATGTAGCCAGGATGCTGAATCAACGTCCACGAAAGACACTAAACTATGAGACGCCAGCTCAGAGATTCAGCCAATGTGTTGCGTCCACCGGTTGAATCCACAGCCGAAAGCTGTCAGTAGGGGCCATGCGGGCGTAGGATGGGGCCTTCCCATCGGTCCAGACTTTTTCCCTTATGACTCAATCCGTGCGGACACTCGTGAAGTGCCAAGATCCAGGTGATGGTAGCGGAGACGTCATCATCGATCTCCCACCGGATGTCCTTGCAGCAATAAACGTAGGTTTGGGTGATTCCTTGAGCATCGAATTGGTCAACGGGGCGATAGTGCTCAGACCGATTCGTGATGCGAATACCCAGTCCTGAGGCAGCTCTCGACTCATTGCAGCCCGTCAGCACCGGCAGAAACCGGCCAAAAGCAGCCATTGGATGTCAGACGGTGTGAGCGATGATTTGTCTTTTCATCGCCATTAAACGCAGCCTTATTGCGACTTTGCCACTTTGAGGTAGGAGACGCACACCACGATCAGTTGCTCGCATACGGCGTCGCCTTTGTCGGCAGGAAGGTCACGTTCGAAGATGCTGCGCACGGTGCCAAATACGGTGCTGAGAAGCGTGAGCGTCACGGTAGCCAAGTCCGTAAATGACCCATCCGAAGAACTGAGGAGCATGTTCTCAGTAGCAGAATCTACACGCTTGGCAAAGGCAGCGATCAGAGGTTCGTTATCGAGCTCTGCAACGGACTGGTACAGCGCGCGTGTCACTTCCGGCCGCTCGGTCTTGGCAACCCAATAGGTCTTGACGAGCGCCTCGACCATGTCGGAAAGGACTGCGCCATGCTGTGCCAAGCAGGTCGCTTCAATTCGCTCTGCCAGGTGCACCAGGTAGCGTTCGTTCAAGGCGTAGAACAGCGCCTGTTTGTGCGGAAAATATTGGTACATGCTGCCGACCGACACGCCAGCGCGCTCTGCCACGCGGGTCGTCGTCAATCGACGCGGGCCATCGCTGACCAAAACCTGAATGGTTGCCTCGAATATAGCGCTCACCGTCGCCAATGAGCGCGCCTGGCGCGGCTGTTTTCGGGGTGTAAGGCTGAGAGACGACAGTGCCGGCATATGCGAATTATCAAGCTGAAGAAAGCTTCATATACTAACTGGAAGCAATCAACTTTAAGGACTTACATGAAAAACAAACGTATCGCACTGGTCACCGGCGCAAACAAGGGCATTGGACTTGAAATTGCGCGTCAGCTGGCGCAGGCTGGGGTAGACGTGATTATCGGCGCCCGAGACGCCAGCCGCGCTGCTGCTGCCATTGCCGACCTGGCGACTCAAGGGTTGGCGGCACAATCTTTATCCATCGACCTGAACGATCACGCCAGTATCGAATCGGCCGCCAGAATCATCGAATCCCAGTACGGCCGACTCGATATCCTAGTCAACAATGCAGGCATTGTCGATGCTCTCGACGGGCCACCAAGCACGTCGGCACCCAAAGCGGCACGCCGTATCATGGACACCAATTCTCGTCGGCACGCTGGCAGTCACGCAAGCCATGCTGCCGCTGCCGCGCAAAGCGCCTACTGCGCGGATCGTTAACTTGTCCAGTTCCCTTGGTTCGTTGTCGGTCAACAGCGACCCGACTTCCCCTTATTACGATGCCCGCCTGATTGGCTACAACGCGTCGAAAGCGGCAGTGAACATGCTGACCGTACGGTTGGCGCAGGAGCTGCGCGACACCGAGATAGTCATCAACCCGTCAGTCCGGGTTATGTAAAGACCGATCTCACTGGGCACAATGGTTTTATGACCCCGGAAGAAGGGGCGAGACTCCCCGTTCAATACGCGTTGCTATCCCGAGACGATGCCGTCAGTGGTAAATTCGTCGAGGGCAAGCGGCGTCACGCCTTGGTGAATATCGGATTACATGGCGATGGAGGGGGCCGCTTTGGGTCGGAAGCCGCCGGTGACGACCGGCCGCGTTCGGCCAGAGCGGTCATCGAGTGCCAACGATTCAGGACGATTCACTTTTCGCCACAAAACCTAGACTTGAGGGAAGGGCCGGACTGTTTAACAGATAATCCAACAGGGCGTCCGTTGCGCAGGACTCCATCAGCAGAAAATGTGCCCTAGCCATTCACAGACTTCAATGCCTCCATGTCGCCGAAGTCTTCAAGCCTTGAGCAGACTGTCCGAACCCTTACTTCTCATCCTTTGGCGCGTGTCGCGGAAGACGCAGGTAAGCTTCGGAAAAGTAGCGATAGTAACGCGACGGGATACTCAGCTCTTGCAAGTGCCTCTCTATCAAAAACGGCTGGCGTCAGATAGGCCTGCCGCTGCCGTCAGGTGTATTGCTTCCGGTACGTGGTCGGGCCGTCAATGGTCGACCCCGATGTTGAGATCGATGAACGCTCGTCAGTACGGGTGCAAGAACAATAACGCTCATTGTCAGTGTCGAACAGCTTTGTTCCCTGGCTCCCTGGCAGAGAATATCGCCACATCGGTGAACAGGTTCTACGGGAGACAGCAAATCTGGATAGGTGCCTTGGTACAGTAAAATATCCAGCGCGCTCAGCCCACCTCCGCCGCGCGGGAGGTAAGAATATCAATACGTTAATGTACGCCGT